CGGTCTGCACTTCGACCGCCCCGTCGGGAACCACTGCGGCACTGTTGAAGGATACGCGTATTTTCGCTGCCCTTGGCGGCATGGTAAATACATTGCCATCAACAAGGTCTGCTCTCCTTTCGTGAAAGTTGCAATCGGCCATTCGTTCAGCTGGTCGAGCAGCTGCCGCTGCCGCCGCCGCCGCCGCCCCACAACGACCAGCCGCTGCCGGCGCCGCCGCCGCCCCAGCAGCAGCAGCGCGCTAACACCCAGGTTTCGTGGTCTAGCGTATAAAGTATAAAGTAGAAAATTTAAATATTTTCTTCGTTCTTCAGCATTCGCGCACGTGGGGAGAACCAACTTTTTTCCGCCCAAGCCTAAATTTTTTTTACAATAAGCGGATGCGTTTCTAAGTTGTTCTTAACTAATCTCAAGCATAAAAACCTTAATTATAGGTTAAAAAATTGATTTTTTACGACCCAAAATGACCAAATTTTCGGCTTCTTCAAACTTTTTTTGAAATTTTCTTTTGCTAAAGTTAATCAATTTTTCTTTTGCTAAAATTTTAAATAAAGTTAGAACATACCAAAAACAAGGTAAAAACACTTTATATCTGGCCAATCGAGGAGAGAGAGTGCTTTCCGCTCTGGGCCCATCCATCTCTCTCGCTCTCTCTCTCTCTCAAACACACTTTCTCTATCTCGCAATTCTAAATAACTCTTTTGTTTTAGCGGCCCCTGCGAGCCGAGCGCCCACGTTCTGGGCTGTTGAGGAGGAAGGGAAGAAAGGGCAAGCCGGGAAAGGAAGCCGGAGAAAAAGCAGAAAAAGAAGCCGGAGGCAAAGGAGCAGCGAAAAGCCGCCGACGCAACCCCGACCGGCAAGGAAACCCTCATTGACTGCAACATCAGCGACAAGTGGGAGAGTTTGAGTTGTGAATCTGCTTCTCGGCCAGCATACCAGTAGAATAGGCTATTAATGCCTACTCCCTTCTAGGTGCAAGGGACACACGGATGAGCCCGACCTCAACAACAGCTGCGGAGAGCAAGAGAAGGAGCAGATAGGAAGAGCGAGGGACAAGGTCTCGGGGACACCCACGCGCAGCTAACCCGCGCCGCCCGAAACTGGTATTAGGTTCTTTCGCATTATCGGGGTGGGGGGGGGAGATACATTTTTTGTCTTAATCTGGCAATTCCTAGTAACTGACAGGAAGTGTTTCCACTGTTTTTAGCAAAACAAAATCATATTTTAACAAGAAAGCCCATTTAAAAACTTTTTAACATTTTTCGAAAGCTTTTTGGAAGAAAAGTCGATAATTTTTTTAACCAGATTTTGTGAAACGTATAGGTTTAGCTAAAATCAGTTTATAAACACTCCGACTATCTATACTCCAAAAAATTCGTCGCAAATAAAAAATTTTAGGTTCCGCCCGGCTACACGGACAAGGGCGCTGAGGACGAACCCTAAAACGAAGACTTTCAACGATCCGCCGATTCAAGAAGACTCCAGAACCTTCGATCAATTTTTAAGATTTTTATGATGCGCGCGTATTACTTTGTTTGAATAAACAATCATCATTGTGCACAACGCAGGAAAAGCCCCTCGAAAATCACAGGAACACGAGCGAAAAATACTGAAGCAAAACCTTTATAGGGTAAACTAAAAAAGGCCATGCTGTAAAACGGAGTGTAGATGTGCTTATTAGGCCTGGGCCTAGGTCTAGGCTTAGGCTTAGGCTTAGGAGTGGTCCCCGATCACTTTACTCAGGTTTAGGTTAGGGTTAAGCTTAGGCTTGGGCTCAAACCTAGGCTTAGGCTTAGACAGGTTTAAAAGGCTTATGCTTAGGCTCAGGCTTACTAGGGAGGTATCTGAACTCGGCATCGAACTTTGAGAAGTCAGATACACCATTCGACGCGCCTTGTCGAGGGGATCCCAAATATGTAATAAAATCAACCAGAGCCTATAACCGTAAAAAGTTATGAGCATTCAAAGTCAACAAAATGGTGAAAAACAGTATGTTTGAGACCCTGTATCATCCCGCGGAATGGAATTTAGCCTAAACTGATTGGTGCTCCTTATTCAACAACGAAAGCTCTTTCAAATGAGATATATTACATACGGCTGCCAAAAATTTCGGTAAAAAATATTTTTGGAATGCAGTGTAAGGGTAGGGTATGGCCAGCTTGCCAAAGACGTTTCGAGTATTTCGCGTAAAGCCTATGTAAGATAGCTCATTCGAAAGGGAATTTTTTGCTGATCAAGATGTATTGTCCTATTTTTGACAAATTACATTCTTCGAATTCGTACAGAGTCTTAAAAGGGCGTTTTTTGACGATTTTGCCAACTTTGATATAGAAAGCGTCCAATCATAGTTTTCTTGTCCGAGGTTATTTTATAATCGCTAGTGCTTTTTCGGGGTCACACAGTCGAGAAAAACTTATTCCCGAACTTGGAAATGCAAAAAGTAGAAACCAGTCAAAAAGCAAAAAATAAAAGTCGTGAGCGGATCCGAACCCTGGTCATAGAGCCCTGAGACCCATGCGCACACCACTAGGCCACAGAACCGATGAACAGGGTGCGCTGGGAGGGGCTCATATCTCAGCGGCGCTTTTCGGTGCAAAACTTAAAATGCTCATAACTTTTTACGGTTATATGCTCTGGTTGATTTTATTACATATTTGGGATCCCCTCGACAAGGCGCGTCGAATGGTGTATCTGACTTCTCAAAGTTCGATGCCGAGTTCAGATACCTCCCTAGTTAGCCTTAGGCTTAAGCGAGAATAATCTCGTCGCATTTGCACAGTCATACGCAAGGCAATTTAAGAGTTTCACGAAGAGTTCCAGACCGATGGGCCCAGTAGTTTCTTTTAAATGTCATACAAAAAACACGATCATTTTTTTCACAGGGGTTGGGGTAATTTGCATAGCTTACATGGGTAATTCTTAAGTCTTGATGCAAAATTAGCATAATTTTCGCGCCAAAAATGTCATTCACCGAAACAGCAATTTCGGGGGCGCTTGGTGCGAGACTTGACAGGCCATTAAATCCGGGAAAAAATAGGGATAAAACGGCTCAAATTTGATGTACCCTGCGTTTTTCATCGTATACTTTAGGGCGTCCATCGTACCTTCTACAAGAAAAATGACTTGTATTCCTCGTTCTACAGTTCACTTTTTCTCGCGCTTGCAAATGCCTATTTTTTCTCTATGTAGCTAGGATTTCGAAAAGGAGAGCATGAATTCTCTTTGTAGTCGTTATTTTAGAGCAATACCGGATTAACAAAGTGTTTTGCGTCTGATGATTAACATACGAAAAATTATCACACTTCATTTATTAGCATTCCCGGTGGCGAAAAGCTATCACACTCCACTTGAGGTTCCGGCCGGGCGGCGGCTAGGTGCTTTTCTTTAACGTTTTAGGCGTCGCTGGATGCGCTGAAGTATTTACTAAAGGAAAGGGGGAAGGGGGAATAGGTTTAAAAGGCTTTCGCCAGGCTGCCAACGAACCTGAAAACCTTGCAAAATCGAGCTTACAATTCAATGTTAGGGTACAATTCAAATAGGCGGGGGGGTTTAGGCAGGGGGGGGAAGTGGATCTATAGGCGGAGGGGTGCCTAGAGAACAGGGCGGGCGTAGAGACGCAGTGTGCCCCCCGCCTAAATCTCCCCCCCTTCCCCCAGCCTATTTGAAAAGCACCGAGCTTAGGATTCAAAGACTGCAAAAGTCAACGTCAATGACCAAAAAACTTTCAGGAGGGAACGAGCCCTGCCCACCTACCGCCCACTCACGAGAAGCTGGTCTTCTCAAGCCTGTTAAAGGGCACGGTAGGTCAGTAGATTCTGGACTTTTTGGCGGGGGGGGGATACGAAACATAAACCCTTTTATCGAGTTTCAAAGGCTTTTTCAAGTTTTAAGGAACTGGGATTTTTTTTGTATCTGGGCATTTTTTGGGATTTTTTTTTGGTGGAGGACAACTGCAGGGTGTCCCAAGAAAAGAAATCGCCCTGCCTAGAGGTTCCCCCTACCTAGGCCGGTTATCCGGATCTCTGGCGCGGATTGGGATGATTTCCACACCATTCGAAAGCCCTTTGAAAAGTTGGGAAACCTAGCTTTGTTTTCGCTAGGCCCCAGGGGTTGGCTGGATGTTCGGCCCCCACCTCCTATGTAGGAGGAAACGCAAGAATGTATGTGCCAAGCTAACAAGCGAGGCACAACCGCAAAACCACAACAAGAAGAGGTGTCAAGGCGTGTGGGGAAGCTCAAATGCTCAACTCGTTGTGGGCAAAAGAGTGTTAAGAGTTTATTACATGATAAAACTATGGGGCAAAGACGGAGAATGAGAAGTAGTGAGGGGGAAGGAAAAGTTACGCCGAGACATCAAACTTTGTCTCATGGAGACCAAAGATTTGAGCTCGACTAGACGGGGGAAGAATACACAAGAAAAGAAGAGGGAGAGGGTTAATGAGACGGGGAGGAAATACTAAAAGGCGAAGGCTAAAACCACAACAACCGAGGTCGAAGTGGGGGAAAACAAAAGGCAAAAGGCGGGGAAAGAACACGGAGACCTGGGCCAACGTGTGGGGAAAACATAAGGCGAAAAGGCGGGGAAAAGTGGGAGAACACGCAAACCTAGGTTAACGTGGGTGGAAAACATAAAAGCAAAAGGCGGGGGGAAACGGAAACGTAAGGCACAGGGGGAATTAATAAAAGAAAAGGAGAGAGAGAGGAAGAGGGACGGGAGGAAGGGAAGACACGAAAAAGGGAGACCCCGAAAAGAGACGAAAAGCCAGGCTCACTAGAATTTGGTGGGGCGGCGGGTGGAGAGAGGATGGGGTACGGGCGCCAGGAGTTGCGCGTCGTACAGGGGCAAGAAACAGGGGGAAAAGGGAAGGGGATTCCAACTACCCTCCCCTCGGGAGCGGAGGTCCCTCGACGCAAAGAAGATGGCGGGGTGACGAGCTTGACTTGGCGTAGACGACGTTGGCTTGGCACAAAACGGGCATGGCGCACGCATCCTTCCTTCAGGAGAAACGTACTTGCGAATTGTCCTTGGAGAAGTCGCGAAGAGACGGCTTGTCCTTGCACTGAAATCGGCTTCGGCATTGAGAAACGGTGAAGAGGCGAGCTTGTCCTTGCACTGAAGTCGACTTGGTCCTTGAGCAGCAGCACGGAGGCGAGCTTGAGTCCTTGACCTTGAAGTTGGCGAAGAGGCGAGCTTGGGTACGCTTGACTTGAATCCTTGCGAAGTCGTCTTGATCCGAGCAGGGTAGGCGGGTAGGGTAGTGGAAATATACAAATAAACGGGACAGGGCCAAAGGAGAGGGGAATAGAGAATTAAACAATGCGAGCGAAAGAAAAGGCTTAATTCTTGCTTGACGGCGAACGTGTAGACAGGCATGGCAACTTGACGGCGAACGTGTAGACGGGCACGACGCACAGGCAGCAGTCGAGCAGCTTGACCATGTAGACGAGCACGAGCACGGGCAGTAGTTGAACACGGGCACCTTGAGATCCTTGAACGCGAACATCGTGTAGTCGAGCATGTACTCTGTTTCGGCGGGCGAGGTGGCCGGCGAACCACGGCGAACTTCGCCGGGCGTACTGCGCCGGCCACCTCGCCGGCAAGGGGTCGGCGAACTTCGCCGGCGAACCAGCCCGGCGAACTTTGCTGGCGAACCTGTGCGAGCTAGCTGATGCTTAATCCCCTTGATTATTATTCATTCAACAATAAGGATCTACGAAGAAAACATGGATTAATAGAACTAGGATGGATTGGACCCAGATAGCGACTGAAGAGAGGGGGCTTAAAGCAATTTATCAACAGTAAAAATTTAACAACGGGTGAAGAAATGAATTTCCTCGCAGGAGAAGCGGCTTGTGGAGGCCTGAATTCGATTCGAAATTGTACCTTTTTGAGATTGTCAGAAGCGAAACGTGTGTTTGGTACCAGTTTACGCTTTCGGCGGTATTCCTTTACTGACTACCTTCATCTTCGGTTTTGATCAACTTACCGCTACCTTACCATTGTTTCGTAGGAGAGCTGACGTATTGTATTATGACTGTAGGAACCTGGCGAATAAATCCTCGGTCTGGAATAGTTTCGAAACCAGCGTATCACATCGTAATAAGCTGGTTTCTCATAACATCACAGACCTGCGTATCGCGCATTCGCCGCTTCTCGTCGGCAGCTTTCATATCTATAAGTCTTTATAATAATAGTATCATTCTTAAAAAAACCTGTAGTTTCGGCCGCCGATCCCACGCCGGTTGGTTTTTTTTTTGCAAATGACTTACGACTTTTTTTTTTCTCTCGCAGCCCGCCACTCCGGTCGCGTCGTGGTTCGCCGGCGAAGTTCGCCGATCCCCTCTCGTCCCCTTTTCTGGCGAAGTTCGCCGGTGGTTCGCCGGCCACCTCGCCGAGCTCTAGTTCGCCGGCCACTGCGCCGAGGTTCGCCGGCCAGCTCGCCAACCCCTTAGGTTCGCCGGCCACCTCGCCCGCCGAAACAGAGTAGGTGTGCGCGGGCGGCATGAAGTCGAGCACGTGGTTGGACACGAAATATTGATGTCGAACACATTCCTTGAGCGCGAGCGTCAGGTTCTCGGGTACATGACGTCGGGCATCGGGAAATTGTCCTTGTAGAAGATTGTCACTATTCGTCGGTCCAAGTTGAGGCTGTCAACGCGTGTTGGCTACGCGGGGTGTTGGATTCCTTGTCGTATTCATGGCCCTTGGTTGCAGAATACCCTGAAAAAGGGATATTAGACAAAGTTCGGATATTGAAAACCGAAAATTGAGAACAAGAAGCCATCAAGTAGAAGAATAGCAAATGAAACGCGAAATTCTTTTATTTTGCGCGGGATGTGACAGTTTTTGGGATTGCGAAATTCAAAAACGCTTGAATCGCGGAGGAATGGGCGCAAATTTCTGAAAACATTTCAAATTTCTTAGTTAGGGAAATTTGAACGCTTTTCACGCGTCATATTTCGAAATGGCGAGAAGTGGGCGGCTTTTCAAAAAGCGCGCGAGCGTGGCCGAACTTTCCAAGCTGATCAATTCCTGAAAAGAACGGATTTGCACAAAAACGCTGGCCAAATCGAGAAAATGGTCGAGGGAAACGCGGGGGAAATTGCGAGCACCGCAGCAACGAAAAATTTCGAAGCTGAAAAGCGATAAATGAATTTGAAAATTTAGATTTGGGCGATGTTGGTGCCCTTTTCATCCAAAAATGTCGAAAGAAGAGGTGGACGCGCACATGCACTGGCCAAAAGACGCGGGAGACGTTGTTGTTTCGCTTTCAGCTTTCCTAAAACAATTTCGCAAAAGGAAAAGCGAAAAGTAGAGGACATTTGAAAACAATTTCAAAGAATTTGCACGCTTTGGACCGAAATGCGTGGAATTTCGCGGGGCCTGAAAGAAATCTTGAGATGTTTTCGCTCAAAGCAATGTTAAATGAGCAAAAGGCGCGAGATGAAAACAAAATACGAAGAGAATCACTTTATTATAGCAAATAAAGGTTCTATTTCGTTGGAGTCGAGGTTTCAAACGTTTGAAAACCTTTTCAAAACGCGGCTGCTTCTCGTAGACGTTCTGTTTTTTACGGTGTTACAGCCTCACCGGTTCTGGGCAAAAGTCAGGGGCAGGAAAAAGGCAAACCGGAGAATTCCGGCGTCCTTGGGAAGGTTGTTAGCGGAAAAGGCGGAATTGGCTGGGTTTTGGCGTTACCCGAGGGCCACAAAAAGGCAAAATGGCAGAACCACCTCCGGGGATCTATTATACCGAACTGCCAATCGAAGCAGCCGGCATCCCGAAGGGGAACTCCAGAAAAGGCGAAGGCGAGGCCGGCAGCGTGCACGCTGACCGTCCTATAAAGGCAAAAAGGCGAAGGCGATTGGCTGGGTTCGTGTTACCCGAGGGCCAGGGGAAGGCGAAGGCAGGGCCGGCCAACCATCACGTCTGATGGCGTAGTGTTGGTTTTTAGTCCAAAGTCCACGGACTTTTTCGGACTAAAAAGTCCGCGGACTAAAAAGTCCACGGACTTTTTCGGACTAAAAAGTCCGCGGACTAAAAAGTCCACGGACTTTTTCGGACTAAAAAGTCCGCGGACTAAAAAGTCCGCGGACTTTTTCGGACTAAAAGTCCGCGGACTAAAAAGTCCACGGACTTTTTCGGACTAAAAAGTCCGCGGACTAAAAAAGTCCACGGACTTTTTCGGACTAAAAAGTCCGCGGACTAAAAGTCCACGGACTTTTTCGGACTGAAAAGTCCGCGGACTAAAAAGTCCACGGACTTTTTCGGACTGAAAAGTCCGCGGACTAAAAAGTCCACGGACTTTTTCGGACTAAAAAAGTCCGCGGACTAAAAAGTCCACGGACTTTTTCGGACTAAAAAAGTCCGCGGACTAAAAAGTCCACGGACTTTTTCGGACTGAAAAGTCCGCGGACTAAAAAGTCCACGGACTTTTGGATTGAAAAGTCCGCGGACTTTTTAGTCGTGGAACCTCGGGGGTTTTGAATTAAAAAAGTCTGCGCCAGCATTTCCGCTTCCCATTCGTTTATGACTCGACGAAAAAACCCGCAAACCATTTTTAATTGGCATGTGGTAACCATCCATCGCTCTTATTGTTAGACGCGGGCGGCAGAATAGGCCATAATTGTGCCGTTAGTTTGTCTGTGTTTTGGTCTTGGTTCGGTTTGTTTGCCGAGAAAGGCTTTATCAGAAGTGAAACGTAACAACGAATGAGACTCTACACAACAAGAACAACAATATCGGCCTTAGGAAACTTTCAATCTAACAAAACCAACAAAAAAAGGGGCTCTGAGTGAGCAGATTTAGGGCTTTTTCCTGGGTTGCGACCGGGTCGGGTGGAGAGCATTGCTCTTCAAGTGTCGGCAGTCATATCTGAAAGGAGGTTTTGAAGATGATCAGATATTACCTCGTTATCCTCGAAAAAACTCTTCCGGTGGGTGAGATTTTAGGGCTTCTTCTTGCGCAATTTCCTCTTTGTAAAGCAGATAGTCTTCATCCTCTTCCGCAAGCTCCTTCAAGGCCGGCTCACCATTGACCATCTGAACGGAAAAGTTTCGGATACCAGAAGGGGATACTACCTGGTCGGTTAGCGTCTGGACCAGAATTCGATTCTCGGCATCAAGTAGGGCAAGTTCGGGATAGGGATCCGATGCTGCGGCCGCCCTAGAAAGGACATTGGCTTCAAGCACCGGAACGTACCAAAGTTTTGCAGCCCTCTCGGCGGCCAGGTGATGAGAAATGAATAGCATCTTTGATGCCCGCTTCGGATCCAAACGGTTCCGTTGTTGATTCACGTAGAGCAGGCCGGCACGAGAGAAAACCCTCTCACATTGAACAGAGGCGGGGAGACGGACAAAAAGCGCAGCCGCGACCCTAAACATAAATATTAAAGATAGAAACATCGCGTACCTTTGTAGCAATGGACATCGCCGAGGGTTCTTCCAAAAGCGTGTCACATAATCACCGGAATCCAAGTACACGGGGCAATTCTCGGACTCGAAGGCTTCTTTTATCAGCATCAACTCTATCTGAAATGGAGATACCAGGGAAAAGCCGCCCCGACCTTGATGCTTTCCTCGACGTCCTTCGGCTTGCGGAGATGCGTCAGGTCGAGCCGCTGTGTAGGGGCGGTCAGCAAGGCGCCAATGGGGTCGTTAGCTTCGTCCCCTTGGGTGCTAGCCCAGGATCGTTTTCTTGGCGCTGGATTCTCGTACTGCGACGGCCCGACAGACTCGGACGGCTCTACGCTCTGGAGTAAATCTAAGAAAAAACTCAGTATAAGTTGATTATTTACCTTTTCCAAGAGCAACTAGCGCGCCCTCCTGAACAGCCATATCTTCCTCAGAGAAGACCCTGACCGAGCCCCATGAATAAGGGCACAAGGCCGCTGCGGCTAAGATCAATTTGCTGCGCTTCGCTGCCTGAACCTGCTGTTCACATCCGCGGACAATCAATTTACCTCCACCCGAGTCGCCAACTGCTCCGCCATCCTTTCGGCTAATTTGGTGCCAACCTCGGTGCGGTATTGATGGCTGCTATGGTACGGCACGTTACCGATAAGAAGAAATCACTAACCTTCAAAGCCCTTCTGCAAGATATTCAGGGCATACATATATTCGAAAATCGTGATCTGATCAGCGGAGAACTAAACCAACATTGAATAGAGAAGTAGTTAAACTCACTTTTTGGTAAACCAATGAAAATACTTCAATATTTGAAGGAGATCTTCAATGATTTGCCACTCATCTTCGGCAATCTCGAACATGCCCTTCTGCACTCGCATAGCTTCATAGACTTGCCGCTAAAAGAGACATTGCGACCCATTTTGATTTTCTCAACCTGTCGGAAGAAAAGGGCCAACATCTCATAGGTAGCACCCCAGCGAGTTCTGACGTCTAGCAGGGCTCGTCTCACAGGGATTCCCCACTTCTTTTGCAGCCTAAATAAAATTAAAGTTATTGGATCCTTAGCTTACTCTTCAAATAATGCTTTTAGCCTTGTAGATTTGCGAATCGTCTTGATGTTATGACGGATTCTCGACAAAAGATCTTCGATTTTCGGATCGTCGAGCCCGGCGAGAACGACCAGTTGTAGCAGGTGGGCAATGCAGTGAACCCAAGTCTCGTCACTAGAAGAAAAGGTATAGCGAAATGTCTGGGGTTACCTTAATCCCGCCTTCGTAGCGAGTCGCCTCGATGCACACTTTTCATTCGCGGCACCATCGGTGGTGAAGCCAACCAATTTCTCAAATGGAATTTGGAAATCTCGCAGATCCTCCAGGACTATCTAAATATACTATTTTAGACCGCCAATCGCGGAGTAAACTTGCCTCGGAAAGGAATGGCATCTTGTTTCTTGTTAGTCACGTCTTCAATTGATAACAGGGCATTTTGTCGCGTCATCTGTGCGTCAGACCAGTGAATGTATGTGCTAAAATGGGGAAGCTTAATAAAATGATTCAATTTTACCAATGTAGGCTGACAGTATTTGCCTTCGACGACCAGGAGTCAAAACTTAGCCCGATATTTACCGCATCCTTCAGCCTCTCGCACAACAGATTCTAAATTACAATTAGGAACATCGTAGATCTGCCAACCTTTAGTTCCCCGTACCGCCTGTCGAGGATTGGTCCCGACAATGCATGCCGCGTCGGTCCTTTGGTTCGCCCACCACTCACTGCCAATGTATATTCCCTAAACCAAGGATCAAGCTTAGACGCAACACCTACTTCCAATCGTGATTCTCCACAATGTTGAACGACAGATTAGCTGACAGTATCAGGTTCAGGCATTTATCGTCAATCTCCTGCTAAACATCCTTTTCCATGAATCAATCCTTAAAATTATACCGGTCTTTTCTGCAGGAGCTGCCGCGGGCTAGCCTTGTCGCTGACGGGCCTTTTTGGGCTAGGGGCCTATGTATATAGCTTGATAGTCGACCAGAAAATATTACCTCTGGATTATCACCGTCCAGATGTTTCTTCAGATGGCGGCCGATTGCCGACAGCCCGCCTTTGGTGATGAACATCGCCCCACAGAAGTTGCATTTTTGAGGAATCTCCGACCGTAACAATGTGCTGCCGAATCGTCGTCGCACTGCCAAAGCATTCATTAGTATGACATAAACACTGACCTGTAATTCTCTCCCCTTGTTAGACGCGGATCATCTGCCGACCCTCCCATTTTACCAAGTTCTACCTGAAAATATAACGATTACTTGGCCGCAAATTTAAACCGTGTAAGAGAAAACGACAAGGACAATTGTATATTTCGATGTAGATGAGATGGCGTGTCAATTAAAAATGGTTTGCGGGTTTTTCGTCGAGCCATAAACGAATGGGAAGCGGAAATGCTGGCGCAGACTTTTTAATTCAAAACCCCCGAGGTTCCACGACTAAAAAGTCCGCGGACTTTTTGCAATCCAAAAAGTCCGTGGACTTTTAGTCCGCGGACTTTTCAGTCCGAAAAAGTCCGTGGACTTTTTAGTCCGCGGACTTTTAGTCCGAAAAGTCCGTGGACTTTTAGTCCGCGGACTTTTCAGTCCGAAAAAGTCCGTGGACTTTTTAGTCCGCGGACTTTTAGTCCGAAAAAGTCCGTGGACTTTTGAGTCCGCGGACTTTTTAGTCCGAAAAGTCCGTGGACTTTTTAGTCCGCGGACTTTTCAGTCCGAAAAAGTCCGTGGACTTTTTAGTCCGCGGACTTTTTAGTCCAAAAAGTCCGTGGACTTTTTAGTCCGCGGACTTTTTAGTCCGAAAAAGTCCGTGGACTTTTTAGTCCGCGGACTTTTTAGTCCGAAAAAGTCCGTGGACTTTTTTAGTCCGCGGACTTTTTAGTCCGAAAAGTCCGCGGACTTTTTAGTCCGCGGACTTTTTAGTCCGAAAAAGTCCGTGGACTTTGGACTAAAAACCAACACTATGATGGCGGCTTGAAGAAACGCGAGCAACTTCATGCGGAGAAACTCGACGCATTTAACTTGTATCCAGGAGTGTTTTTAATCCACCAACTGCAGATTGGCTTCATAATAACGACTCCTTCGTCGGTGCTTCCTTGAAATTATACTTGGCAATGTTCTTACAATGCACAAAGTATTTCGAGACGTTGGTAGCCTTTTTCAAACTTCTTTCTTCGAAGTTGAAGACAAAATTTGGCTTTGTAGCCGGCGATGAAGAGGAGATCGGCAGTTCGAGCTTTGAAATTCGAAGGCCTTCGAATTGGGCTTATCCGTCAGCACGTCCTGATGTTTTGGACGGCTCTTCGAGACACATCTGCGCTGTTCAACACGCTTTGCCATAGGTATTGCGTCCTTCTGCTCATTTCGCGCAAATGAAGACTTTTTCACTTCATTTTTGCGAGTTTTTGAGCAGGGTGTCGCTGATTTCGGCTCTGCGGCGCTCAACCAAAGGTTTTTGGGAGTTAGAACAGGTCATCCGCATTTCGAAGAATATCGAAAGGGAAGTAAGCACCTTTATTCGGTAACTTTGTAGTCCTTCTTCACATCCAGGCTTGTTGATGCGCGCTCAACAGACAATAGTCTGGAGCGGTAGTCGTCGTGGCCAAAGTCTTGCTGGGCAAAGACTTGCGTGTGTGTACGCTCGCTGACAAGCGAGTTTCCACTCTTCGGGGAGAGGTGCGCCGGTTTGAGACCGGTTCGGCCCCCAGTTGGGAAACCTAGCTTTGTTTTCGCTAGGCCCCAGGGGTTGGCTGGATGTTCGGCCCCCACCTCCTATGTAGGAGGAAACGCAAGAATGTATGTGCCAAGCTAACAAGCGAGGCACAACCGCAAAACCACAACAAGAAGAGGTGTCAAGGCGTGTGGGGAAGCTCAAATGCTCAACTCGTTGTGGGCAAAAGAGTGTTAAGAGTTTATTACATGATAAAACTATGGGGCAAAGACGGAGAATGAGAAGTAGTGAGGGGGAAGGAAAAGTTACGCCGAGACATCAAACTTTGTCTCATGGAGACCAAAGATTTGAGCTCGACTAGACGGGGGAAGAATACACAAGAAAAGAAGAGGGAGAGGGTTAATGAGACGGGGAGGAAATACTAAAAGGCGAAGGCTAAAACCACAACAACCGAGGTCGAAGTGGGGGAAAACAAAAGGCAAAAGGCGGGGAAAGAACACGGAGACCTGGGCCAACGTGTGGGGAAAACATAAGGCGAAAAGGCGGGGAAAAGTGGGAGAACACGCAAACCTAGGTTAACGTGGGTGGAAAACATAAAAGCAAAAGGCGGGGGGAAACGGAAACGTAAGGCACAGGGGGAATTAATAAAAGAAAAGGAGAGAGAGAGGAAGAGGGACGGGAGGAAGGGAAGACACGAAAAAGGGAGACCCCGAAAAGAGACGAAAAGCCAGGCTCACTAGAATTTGGTGGGGCGGCGGGTGGAGAGAGGATGGGGTACGGGCGCCAGGAGTTGCGCGTCGTACAGGGGCAAGAAACAGGGGGAAAAGGGAAGGGGATTCCAACTGAAAGGCGAGAAAACAAGCCGGTCCTCGTTTTCATAAATTATTTAGCATGTTTTTGATACTAAAGCTTTTGTTAAAAACGTTTGTTTTTCTGTGCCATGCATGCAATTTCGAGGCGGATCTCATATCTATTATATTTCTCGGATCGCGGATCTGGCGTATTTTCTCGCCATTTCGAGAGAGCTTTCGATAGATGCCTAAATCGACATATTTTTGTGAAACGAAAAGCGCTGCTTTTCTCATCTCACCGTTTCAACGACCTTCGGGCCGGTAAAAATCGTCACGATCCGACCTTTCCGCGGACCGTTAGGGTGGGGGTCGGTTTTTTTTGGGCACCCTCCTACTGGGTAACTCTTACCCCCGAAAGATAGCGCCGAAAGATTGCCGACGTTTGCCATGCCTTATTTAGAGATGCTTGGCGGACGGCGCCCTCCTGCTCGCCCTGTTGCGCTGCGCAACGGACAGCCGCCACAGCCAGCCGCTCGCCCTGCACCGCCCCGACTGCTGGAACGTCGCCTAGCCGTCGGCTCGATGGTGGTATATGGTGGGTTTATTAGAAATAGCCAGGTTTGAGGCTCGGCTTTTTTTCTTTGGTACTCTTTTTTAAATATACACAGAGTGGCAGTGTAAAGTATTGTAAAGTGTTTTTACTCAGGCTGGCGTTTTGGAATGGAACCAAGCCTAACTTGTGCAGAATTTTTCGTTGATTCAGGGTCTGTGTTCCAAATCTGCTGCCGACTTTTATTTGAAAAGTTATTTAGCATCTATACCAAAAAAATTGTCAAAATTGGATTTTATATCGTCATTTTTGAGTTGCCGTCACTTTCAACTCTAAAACTGACTCGGTGCCAGTTTTAGAGGTCAAAGCACGATTTCATGCAAAAAAATTATGTGTTTTTGTGCAAAAAGAAAAAGGACTTGTCCAGTGCGGGGTTGCAGGCAGAAGAAGGCCGCTGCCGTTAGTGGGGACCAAGGAATTTTTGCCAGTTTTAAGCTTAATTTTCACCTCGAATGACTTTTTCAATAAAGGTCGGCAGCAGTTTTGGAAAACAAATTCAGAATCAGCGAAAAATTCTGCACAAAAAGCTTGGTGATTCCAAAGCGCCAGCCAGCGCAAAAACGCCGATAGTAAGTCGTTTTTGCCATTTCTTAAGGTGCACATTTTACAATGTTTCTCAAAAAGGATCAAAAATATCAAGTTTTCGACCAAAAATTTCACTTTTTGAAATTTTCTTTACGGAGATTTTCCGGTTGAAATATGGTTATATATCATTAAAACACTTTGCAACGCTTTCTATTAAGTTGCGATAGTATAGATAGTAATTATTAGTCATTTCGAGACTTATGCAAAAAAAGTTAGCATGAGCCTCTCCGCCCCACCCCCCGGAAATGCATAAGAACTTTAAGCATAACAGCAAGCAAACAGCAAAAATCTTTTATAAAGTCGGAAAAATTCTTCGAAAACTCGAAACTTAGTTAATTTTTGGGTCGGAAAGATGGATTTTTTACCTAAAATTTGATTTTTGATTAAAATCAGGCTTTTTCATGTAAAGTTTTTAGGCTGGGAAAGTTACAAACAATGCAGAATCATATCCGCTATATGTGAAAGGAAAGAAAACCAGGCTTGGATCGGAAGTGTTTGTTTCTGTACCTCCCCCCTACCCCGCACGACAAGGCTCAACAAGCAATACAACGTTATATTTTAATAGCTGATAGACAGGGTAAAATTTAACACTTTTTTGCAGGTGGCCACCCGGCGAAGTTGGCGTACGTAGGGCCGGTGGCGTGGTCCAAAATGATCTTCACCGGGCTCGAGTTCCGCCAACCTATCGGCAAGCACTCCGGCAAGGTTGACGGGCATCAATACTTCCGTTGTAAATGGCGGCACGGGCTCTATGTCCCGTATGACAAGGTAAATTCCCATCCATGAAAACTGCAATCGGTCACTGATTTAGTTGCTTGATGCGCAGCTGCAGCGTACCGACGAAACGGTCGCAATTCTCCCACCCACCGAGGTATTCAGCTTCTTACGCTACCATATAACGGGATCTGATCCCATCGCGACACAGAGAGAGAGAGAGAGAGAGAGAGAGAGAGAGAGAGAGAGACGAAAATACAAAGAAAATTTGTCCTGATTTATACTTTCATTTTAGGAGGCCGCCGAGCAGCAAGATCGGGAAGGGAATGAAGGACGCATTGGCGGCGCCAAGATCGACAACAAGGAGGTCACCAAGACCGAGCTGGCAGCCCTCCCACCTACCGAGGTATTCAGCTTCTTACGCTACCACATAACGGGATCTGATCCCATCGCGACAGAGAGAGAGAGAGAGAGAGAGAGAGAGAGAGAGAGAGAGAGAGAGAGAGAGAGACGAAACTACAACGAAAATTTGTCCTGATTTATACTTTCATTTTAGGAGGCCGCTGAGCAGCAAGATACGGAAGAGCATGAAGGACTCGTTGGCGGGGCCAAGATCAACAACAAGGAGCTCACCAAGACCGAGCCGGCAGCCCTTCCACCCACCGAGGTATTCAGCTTCTTACGCTACCATATAACGGGATCTGATCCCATCGCGACAGAGAGAGAGAGAGAGAGAGACAGAGAGAGAGAGAGAAAGAGAGAGAGATGTTAGCCACCTTTGCCTAACTCCGGTTAAACGAAACTAAAATACAAGGAAACATTCTTCTGATTTATATTCTCATTTTAGGAGGCGGCCGAGCTGCAGGACGTCGAAGGGAATGAAGAGCGAGTTGGCGCCAAGGTCGACGACAAGAAGGTGAAGCCGACGCTCAAAACCGAGAAACAGCCGGCCGCCCTTCCTGCCGCCGACTCACGAGAAGCTGGTGTTCACAAGCCTGTTAAAAGGCATGGTAGGGAGATGCTTGCATTTCTGAGGTTCCCTGGTTCAGCCGTCGTCCGCGAGCCTGATTCGCGCCATCCGCGAACAGACCGGGTGCTCCGCCACCATCATTTCCGATGAGGTTTCGCCCGATCCTGACCTGACCAGTGTGCGCCATTACACGATGGAGCTCACCGTCGTCGGCAATGTGTAAGTATACACGGTTCAGTTTTTTCGCCTCAGCCAAGTTCTGTTTTTGGAATTTCCCAGTTTCAGGCTCCTGCGTGAACTGCACGATCAGCTGACCACGTTGCAGAAGCAGCTGCCGGACTTTTTCGTGCTCGGTAGCAAGGTGGACGGCCACGACCTGATCAATGCGCATCAAGCCGACCCGCGCCTATCCAAGCCGAGCGTAAGCTTTCTAAATACCAAAAAATAATGGTGTGCGATGCCTTGACTGTTTTTAACTTGCTTGATTTAGTGCCCTATGTGCGGATGTGCCGAGGGCGAAGATGGCCAAGGGGATCGACTGCGCACGAAGATTGGCGGCGTCAAGCACTGCAAGCATTGCCTCTACATCGTCGAGTAAGTTCGATCAGTTGGCTTCTTTTCTGAGCACGCTGACACCAAATACATTTGTGTTTCAGCGAATACCAGCCCGACGCGAAGCTTTGCATCCTCAACCACACCTGCCGCTACGTGAAGGGGCTTCTGGAAAACGGCATCCAGACGGAATTGGTCGACAGTGGGTTTCCCGGGAAATGGCCAAAAGCAAATATTTAGGTGCTTGCGACCAATGTCTATACGACAAAGCTTGCCGCACCGGCACGAAGCAGACGCGGCAGTCAGAAAAGGTTTCTTACTCACCTTTACCAAACTCAGAGTGCCCAAAAACTTTTATGGAATACACCTCCTTTATAGCACGCCCGCATGAAGCACAACAACACCACTGGATGAAGCCCACCGAAAGCCGCCCATTAAAGCCCGAGAAACATGTGCCGATACAAAATATACTCGCATGTGATGATGTTCAGTATACCATTACCGATTGCTCGTGTTCCCAATAAAACGCCGTGGTGGCTATCCTCGATGTACAGAAGCAAAAAGCGCGAAAAGAAGCAACAACAGAAAATTTAGTATCGGGCACAGCTGCTAGTTTTGCATTATTTCGCCGCGCAATCCCAATATCTTGTGTTTTTGGAAGAATTTCCCTGCCTTCACTTACGTTTCACATAATTCCGAAACCTCCGCCAAATACCGTGTCGACATGAATTCATACGTCCGCGGGGTCAAAGATTCGAGCGCAACGCTGGCTCCGGCGCCGCGCGCCGCAGGTCCGCAAAGCGGGCTTTTCCACTGTTTACAAAATCCGCTGTCTTCGACACTAAACTTAGCTTTCCATCAAAAACCGGGTACCATTCTTTGTTATAATCCTATCCTATAAGCGGGAAACGTATGTCTGTTTACTGTACAGCCGATTTCTCGGCTGTCACACCAAATTTCCGGCTGATTTTTGGCATGGATGTGGAGAAACAGTTTTGTCGGTGATGCATTTTTTTATTTTACGAAATACCTTCATTTAACAATTTTATAAGCAAAAAAGGTGAAAAACCTTAACAAAATGGGTTTTTGCCGCGTTGTCCGGAAGTTTTCTCAGCGCCTAGAGGGAATTGAGGCCTCCTTTTTGGAAGGTAGATGGGAAAAGTAATTCCCCGGATATATTTTTTGGATTTTGCAAAATTTTTGAAAATAAAGTTTTTATAAGGATTTTTCTGGAAGGTCCTTAATAAATCGTGTCACGGGCGGTGGTGTCAGGGCCATACAGGGTGTCCCAAAAACAGACCCCCAAAAACTTGAGCCAGAGGGCACCTACGGAGCTGAAAATTTGCAAGGAGGTAGCGAAGCCAATTTCCCATGTATATGGAAAGTTTGAGTCGTATCGGCCGGCGGGTTTTAAAGTTATAGCGAAAATACTTTTCAGTTTTAATTTAATATGGGGATCTTTGCAATTTGCATCAAAAAATATGCGTTATTCTTGCATTTACGAGCCGATTTTGCATAAATTTTGCGAAAAAATGCCATTCTCTTGCTGGAGCTTTTGGAAAACGATTGCTCATGCAGCATGAAAACGATCAGCAAGACCGCTGAGTACAAGATATATTGGTTGAAGCTATCGTTCAGCGCCTGAACCTCGCTTAGACTTTGGACCGACTTAAACCCAAGCCCAAATCTAAACTTAAGCACCACTTAGAAGCTCATCGAACCCTGTTTCGCGGCTAGCGCGAAGCAGATTGTCAAAATGCACAATAAGGCGTGGTTTGGATCGATAAAACAGTTGTTTTCACACTCTTTTTACTCTTCATAAGCAATCGTTTTCGCCATGCTCCAGCAAGAGAATGGCATTTTTTCGCAAAATTTATGCAAAATCGGCTCGTAAATGCAAGGATAACGCATATTTTTGAGGCAAATTGCAAAGATCCCCATATTAAATTAAAAATGAAAAGTATTTTCGCTATAACTTTAAAACCCGCCGGCCGATATGGCTCAAACTTGCCATATACATGGGAAATTGGCTTCGCTACCTCTGTGCAAATTTTCAGCTCCGTAGGTGCCCTCTGGCTCAAATTTTTTTTTTTTGGGGGTTTGGACCTGTAATTTTTACCAGTCATGCATTCAATGGCGAGGATCACGCGCATCTTATTATTTTCACAAAATTCGACCAGCTTCCACCTCAAAAGTTGAATTTTGTAAAGTGGCCTGAAGGCCTGCCTGGGGAGGTGCTGGGGCCCATTCCTTTTAGCACAGCCCGGTGGTGCCCCCAGGATATGAAGAGCCCTTTACCGCTGCCCGTTCCAACCTACCCCTGTGGTGTAGTGGAGCAAGGCCGGGGCTACGGCGTTGAGGGTGACGGGTTCCGATCCGAGAGAAATTTAACTTTTTGCTTTTTGGTCGTTCAGCAACAAAACATATTTCTAGGCTTTCCGTGTGCGCGATTTAGGCCTGGCCTTCGCTCTAGCGCGGCAGGCCCAAGAAAAGGTTCTTGGCCCAGGATCTCGCGCCGCAGGCCAAGGATGGGTCCTTTACCGAGGCTCTAGCGCCGCAGGCCAAAGAAAAGGTCCATGAAGCACGCTCTCGCGCCGCAGGCTAAATCCGGGAGAAAAAGCAGTAGCTAGCGCCGCAGGCTCAAGGATTCTCGCGTAACACTGGCTCTGGTGCCGCAGGCCAAAGACTCACTGACTCAGGTTCTTGCCCCGCAGGCTAAAAAGAAGCTATTCAAATTCATGGTTTCTGGACGGGGCACAGTGGGAAAGGGCCGCGAAGCGGTCTTTTTCCACTGGTCAAGTTAATATGCGCCGGAAAACGCGGTAACCAATAATAGGAGTTGAAAGAACGCGAAGCGGCTTTTCAACCCCGGTTTTTTGAGAATTGCCCAATTAACGAAGTGTCTTGCATCTGACGATTACAATAACAAAATTACATTGTTAGCATTTTTGGCCGCGAAAATATGACACTCGACCGGAGGTTCTGGCCGACCGGCGGCTAGGTGATGCTTTTTCTTTAACGTTTTTTAGGCTTCGCGGGAAGCGCTAAAGCATGAACGAAAGCAAAAGGGGGAAAACGCTTTTGCCGTACTTGAAAACCTTCCAAAATCTTCGAAACTTAAAAAGAGCTTAAAAGCTTCGAAGACTCAGAATTCAACCTCAATCACCTAAATTCTTTTAGGTAGAACGGCCCTGCCCCAGCCGGCGGCCCCCTCACGAGAAGCTGGTCTTCTCAAGCCTGTTAAAGGCGCGGTACGTTAGTAGGCTATGGACTTTTAGCGGAGTTTTAGCAGGGACGAAACTAATTTTTCCCCGTAATTCCGTACGGCCAATTAACGAAATATAAACCCCTTTTTTATAGTACTTTCAATGCTTTTTAGAAAAAAATAGTGTATGAAGAAACGTCAAATTTTTCGAAATTCTTGATGTATCGAAAATGGCCAAAAAACGGCTCTCTCTATCGCTCGCTTTGACTATCTTTCTGCTTCTCTCTCGCTCGCTCTCTCGTCTCTCTCTCCTTATCTCTCCCTTTTTCCCTCTCTCGCAAAGATTGACGTTCTCTTAGCAGGTTTTTCCACGGTCTATGTAATACCCTTTAGAAAATACCGGAAATTCCACAAATTTGAACGATTTCTCTCTTCAACAATTTCCGTTTTTGCAGATCGGCACAACGTGCGCATCGTCTACCTCGGTCCAGTTCGGTGGGCTACCGGTCGCTACGCTGGCATCATCTTTGACCAACCTGTGGGCCGTCATGCCGGAAAAGTCCAGGATGTGGCCTATTTCAAGTGGGGGCCAGGCCACGGTCTGTATGTCAACGTCAAGATGGCAAGGATTAACAGAGTTTGCAACATTGTCGCTTTTAGCTCATTCCCGATGCGGAACCGCCGGTTCGCCCTGTGACGCTGCCTAACGACAACGACAACCAAGCCGACATGCTTCCCCAACCACATTTGGAGGCCGAGGAGCGGGTCAACCTCATGGGCTCGCCGGTAGGGGATCTCAAATGAAGCTTCATCTCTCTCTCTCTCTCTCTCTCTCTCTCTGTCTCTCTCTGTGTCTCTCCCTGTCTCTAGCTCTCTGTCTCTCTCGCTCTCTGGCAAGGATTAACATAGTTTGCAAGATTGTCGCTTTTAGCTCATTCGCCCTGAAGAGCCTCGGATTCGTACACTAAAGTTGCCGGACGAGAACCCGCCGGACGAGAGTCTGCCGAAGGCAGCGATCACCGAAGAACCCGAGGAGCGGCAGGAGGAGAGGGTCAACTTGATGGGCTCGCCGGTAGGGGATCTCAAATGAAGCTTTATCTCTCTCGCTCTCTCTCTCACCCTCTCTCTGTGTCACTCTCTGTCTCTCTCTCTGTCGCTCGCTCCCTCTCTCTCTGTCGCTCACTCTCTCACTGTTTCTCTTTCCTTGTCTCTCTGTCTCTCTCTCTCCCTCGCTCACTCTCTGTCTCTCTGTCGCTCACTCTCGTTCTCTCTCTCTCTCTCTCTCTCTCTTTCTCTCTCGCTCACTCTTTCTCTTTCCTTGCCTCTCTGTCTCCCTCTGTCTCTCGCTCTCGCGAGGTAAAGCGAGTAACAAATGAGAAATTTGACCACAAGCAGGGCCACATCGACCACGTGAAGAACGCCCAGCAGAAGCGCAAGAAAGAGAAAAAGAAGCCCAACAAGGAGGGCAGTGTCGAAAGTCTCGTGCCCGATTTGACAATCGGCACGATTCTTTCGAGGTTATTAGATAGCGTAAGACTGGGGCGGGTCCCGCGGCGACTGCCCGACCCGTCAGGCTACCGTAACGGCGGCCTCTGTTCTCCCAGCCAGTCACTCGATTAATGGCGCTCTTCCCACTGGGAGAGAAATCCTTGACGCCCAGTACAAAATGTCCAGCTATTAAGTCCACACTTAATCCCTTGTGTTGTTGGGTAGAATCATTGCCCTCGGTGGGATTCGGCGCCCAATAACACCGATTGGTCTTGGCTGATCGGGGAGTGGCAAAATGCCCAGTGAGCCTTTGGCACTCTCTCGCCTCCTATTTCTCCTGTCGTGTTCTCGGTTGATTGTGGTATACTAATAAACCTTTGTAACCTTCCACGTCTTCTCTTTATCTATAAATGCATACGAGGTACATGTGAGAAGATGAGACTAAAATCCACTGAACATACACCGACATCTTTGGGCCTAGCCTTGTGCTATGGATTCTTCTTGTTTCTCCACATTGGAGTGAATGGTGGCAACTCTCGGTCATTTGGGTTTATTATTGCCCTAGTGACGTGAGGGCGTTCACTCTTTTGTCATGGTGCGTCTCGGTTTTCGAACCTGTGTCCTTTTTGTGTTTTTATTGATATTTTCTTCTATTTTTCACTTTTCAAAGTTTATTTTCCACGATTTTGTGGTAAGTTTTGTCCAGAATTTGCGTGCATTAGTGTCTCGCGAGCACTAATGCCGAGCGGAGACCGCCCCGATGCATGAAGGGCCCTCCACGGGCTAGCCTGCAGGTGATGCCCATTGACCAGCTCAAGCGTACCGCTATCAGTGAACTCTCCCGAGTTCACATCCCTAAGCCTGACTGGCGGGAATTGGTAACCGCAGGGGTTGGTCCGGTCGGATGGAATGATCCGGGTTGGCCGATTATCCCCAAGTGAGGGTGGATCCCCACGCCGCGGCCCTAACCCTCCAGGAAGTGGGCACGGTAAGTCATCCGAAGGGAGATAGTGTTGCGTTAGTCAAAGGTACGCAAACTTTGAACAATGACCAGCCACAAGCCCAGAGCAGCCGTCCGATCAACGGCGTGACTGCGAGATTTGGAGTGTGCGCCAGTGCTAATGCTCGCTTGGTTGCTGCCACCTCTGAAAAAGCCCAGCAATCGGTACTAAAATGGGTTTCTAACTCTCAATTAGTGCGGTGGTGCTATTTAGCGATGCCCAGGGAAGAAATTGTGGATTTCGTGCACGGACAAATCCATTTCAAGCTCTACAAGCGTCGATTTCCTCCGTGGATAGCTTGGCGTTGGCGATCAAGGCCGGCGACGGCGATCGGCAACGTTCAGTACTATCTACAGTGCTCGCGGTGAAAATTTTCACGCTCCCGGCGCCGAAATATTCATTTCCCCGGGCACTCCAGTGCGAAAAGACCAGCATCCACGTCCAGCAAATCAACGCCCAGCATATTTCATTTCATTTTTAGATATATGTATGCACTTTGCGGCCTCTAGGCTCAATATGGCTGGAATTTGCGCTACATACTCAAGAATGGAAATGGAACTACCATGGTTGACGAGTGTTTCGCGTTCGATCTGCTTGGATGTCCACTCGGATGCAAGCTGGCGATCTCATCGACGATTATGAGAGTGTAAGCGAGTTTGTTTTTGCCCTTTTTCGAGCTATAAATCCCAAAGGCTAGCGTTGATTCGCCTATGTCCGAGGGTGTGCGAGATTTTGGCATAAACAGATTCGCCCTGGACGGCCGTGGTAGATGCCCAGCACGAATTTGTCCAATCGAATTCGTTTTAACGCCCAGCCGCACGCCACAAGTTGGACATGTTGTAATGGTACGTGAACCTCATGGTAACCGTGGCGAGTTCCCCTTGGGGCAAATTGTCGAACTTTGCGCGAGCAAAGACGGTGCTACGAGAAATGTGTTCATTCGCATGTTCAATTCAGGAAAAGTCCTGAAGCGTGATTGTACGACCATTTTTATGGTAGCAGAGAGTACTCGGAAAATTGACGCCGAGACTCTGCGAAAGTACAAAGCTGGCCCAGAGAACTTTACAAGTTCGACACTCATCGCCACCGAATGCTTGGATGACGAGTTTTTCTCTGCAGACTCAGATTTCGAGCTTGGCGATGAGTAAGCCCAGTTTATCTTATGACCAGTCGGTATTTTCAAGCCCAGCTTCGCATTTATACAAAGTCCAGCTGCCTTTATAACTAAAGCCCAGCTACGCCTTTTATACAAAGCCCAGTTGCTGTTTCAAAAAGCCCATCACGGCTAGTGGACACGCGTAGAGAACTCTCTCGCGGTCCGCTGCTGACGGTATTCCCAAAGTCCAGCCTCTCCACCCACAGAAGCTTGTCTTCTAAGATGGTCTCGCGAGAAGGGGTTCATACCCCCCGCGCACTCCGTCATGCCCAGCAACTCCGTACGACACCTCAATGCGTCTACATGCTGTCAATGCTCGCCACCACGCCCTCAACCTGTTCAATGGTCATCTACAAGTACCTACCGCTGCAGCCGGACTATTTGACAAAGTACGTTCCCTTTCCCCAGTTGGCTGACAGAGGTACGGGCCTCCTAGCGTCAGCCAATTCCCCTCCCTGTTTTTCCTTCTATTGGCCCAGTTTACCCACCCCTAGTTACTTACTACTTTCTGTCCCTCCCGCCCCCAATTTTATCTGAACCACATTTTTCCGTTTGCGCCCCTCCACTATACTGTATGGGAGTTGCCAAACTCAACCATTTTTGTTGTACGCCCAGCCTCCCCCTTTCCGCCCGCCCCCAGGGCCTTCTCTTGAGACCATCGAGTCGTGTCTATACCAGCACCCCACCCACTAAATGCACATGCCACTTTGGCATCGGCGCCCAGGCCGGTGGGTTCGACTCATAACCACCACTGGGGGGTTAAGCAGACATCAGCAGCCAGGCCGGAGATATGCCTAGTATTTCCCCTGGTAGAGGCCTGGCCTCGTTGCTCGTGTCGGCCGGGAGTGTCGAAAGTCTCGTGCCCGATTTGACAATCGGCACGATTCTTTCGAGGTTATTAGATAGCGTAAGACTGGGGCGGGTCCCGCGGCGACTGCCCGACCCGTCAGGCTACCGTAACGGCGGCCTCTGTTCTCCCAGCCAGTCACTCGATTAATGGCGCTCTTCCCACTGGGAGAGAAATCCTTGACGCCCAGTACAAAATGTCCAGCTATTAAGTCCACACTTAATCCCTTGTGTTGTTGGGTAGAATCATTGCCCTCGGTGGGATTCGGCGCCCAATAACACCGATTGGTCTTGGCTGATCGGGGAGTGGCAAAATGCCCAGTGAGCCTTTGGCACTCTCTCGCCTCCTATTTCTCCTGTCGTGTTCTCGGTTGATTGTGGTATACTAATAAACCTTTGTAACCTTCCACGTCTTCTCTTTATCTATAAATGCATACGAGGTACATGTGAGAAGATGAGACTAAAATCCACTGAACATACACCGACATCTTTGGGCCTAGCCTTGTGCTATGGATTCTTCTTGTTTCTCCACATTGGAGTGAATGGTGGCAACTCTCGGTCATTTGGGTTTATTATTGCCCTAGTGACGTGAGGGCGTTCACTCTTTTGTCAGGCAGGGTAACAAAATAATTTTTTTTTTAAATGGCAAACGTTTTTTGAGGCTGTGACGAGGTACTCGGCATGGTACGTTCCCGTGGAGCTGTGGCTCTTTGAGCTGCCGATAAGCGTCACGGCACTGGCCATGCCTGGAGTGGTAGGGAGAGGCTGCCAACCCTTGAGTAAATCCGCTTAATTCAGATCGTGCTCCGGAAGGGCCTCGGCGCCATTGGGAAGCTGACCCAATCGACGGCCGTCTTCTCAGGATGTTCGGTCGCGGATCAGCGAGGCCAAGAATTGGTGGAGCTGAAGATCCATCTGCGCTCCCACAAACTTATGTAGGTTTTAAAGAGATGGGTATATACATTTTCGTTCATATGTATTCTCGGTACTTTTGCATTATCGAGGGGGAGTTTATAGGGGAGAACAAACATTTTTGTCTAACTCCAGTAATGGCTGGTAAGTCGATAGGAATTATTAATTTGTCAAAAAACTTTTGTCGCTTTTTGGATTTTAAACTTCTAAGCAATATAACCAATCTATAAAATTGTGACAACGAGCCTGAAAACGTTCCAAAATCGAACTTAAAACTTTGAAGACTCAAACTTCAGCCTCAAACACCAAATTTTTTTTAGGGGGAACCAGCCCTGCCCCACCTGCCGCCCACTCACGAGAAGCTGGTATTCTCAAGCCTGTTAAAGGCGCGGTAGGTTAGTAGACTATGGCCTGTTAACGGGCCGTCTTTTTGTCAAATTTTAAATGTTTTTAAATATAAACAGTTTTTAAAAACATCGTCAAAATGTTCAAAAATTTTGGTTGAATCGAAAATATGGCCAAAAACAACACCTTGCTAACAATCAAATACTACTAAAAACACGATACAAACATAACATTCGATTTTTTTTATACATAATCCCTCTAGAGAACTTCCGAGCTATTCATAGTGCGCTAATGTTTTCAAAGTAGGCGATGATCAGGCGCATAGTTAGGGCATGCTAAAAAAAAATGCTAAAATTGGACTTCTTGTCTCAACTGTTTCACAACCTAGGGGCTGGATTCTGAAAATCGGTGATGTACATGTAGTCTAAGGCCATAATTTTACATTTTTGCAATTACAGCGTGATTGATCGCGTGCAGGCGACCTTGCACGGTCTCCTCGTGCAGTTGGACGGCCTGGGCCTCGCAGCCGTCCAGCCCCGCATCATCAACAACATCGGGCCGAACCAGGAGGTACATGCCCCTTTCCCCTTTTTTAGAAGACTTGTTTTTTTCAGGCGTCGACATCAGCGCCAGGTCACGACAGCAGCGTGTGTTTCTTCACGTTGAATTTTCGCCAGGACTTCCGAGAATCTTCTAGACCCTTATTTTTAGTGCAACCTGTGCGGCGCCCTGGAGACGTCCAGCGGCGTCTACAAAGTCGGAGGCGCGCTTCTCGACGTGCACTGCCGTAGGATCCTGACGTAGGTGCTCCGGAGGTGCAACTCGATAGCCGGATAGTGTAAGATAGTGTAACAAGTGGATACTCGAAATTTCTAATTTTTTTGAGTTCTGGTAGTTCGCAGTCGTCATGCTACAGAGCGCTGAAAAATTCATAAATGCTTTTATCAGCGAAAAACTCCACCGCCTTTTCCAGAACGTACACGGTCGGCAGCCGCAACTGCCACAGTTCCTACGTCTGCCGGTACGTGGCCGAGGAGGCCATCAATGGTCGGCAGACGCGCCTCGTGGATAGTGAGTTTTCCGCTTTCTGGCACAAACTTTTTTAAGGAGACTGCTGGTATTGCCTGGTCAAGCGTGCGGCCGAGCTGAAGATGGTTGACGTGGTACGTGAGCTGCTCTGCCATAATTCGCAGACCCCTTGACCCAGAAACGAACTTTTAGCCAACGGAATTCGGGGCGAAGTTGGTCATCCTCGGCTCCTGAAAACCCTTCGAAGTCTCATCCTCGTGGTCCTCGTCCTCGCAGCTTCTCCTCACCTACCACTTACGCATCTTAAAGACAAATACGAATTAAATACTCGAACGACGCTCTTTTTTTCGTTCTCGATTTCATTGTGATATACGAAGCCGGTTGAATAAAAGATTCGTACAAACCGTTGAATAGAAAAACACAGCCGTGTTCCTCACAATACACCCTGCGGGCCGATTCCAAGACATTCCGCTAAAACGATGACGGCATGAAATTCCCGGGCTTTCGGAAATCGACTTGCTTCACTCGGAATTGCTATTCTATTTATTGTTCTTCTTGCTTCAAATTCATTGCGTTCATTGTTGTCTGACGTAGTCCCTTTTTCAGAATGGAGGAAGAAGCAGAAGCCCCGACACGACTTGAGCCGCTCAACGAAACACGCGGCGGTCTCGTCATCAAACGAAAAGCCGATGATGCTGGCGGCAGCTCTTCCAAGAAGGAGAAGAGCCACCTTGGCCTCGACAAGGTGTGGTTTTGCGTTTCTTCTTTAGTTTCCCTGATTTGTAAGGTCAAAACACTATGAAAACCCCTTCTTTTAGTTGGCAGACGAGCGGCGCCGGGACAATCGTACGCGCGAGAACGAGACGCCCGGGCACCTCTCGGACAGCGTGCGCCACAAGATTGACGAGTAGGACCTTTTACGGCTTTCAATTAATGTGCTTTATTCAGCTTCAAACGAGACCGCTATCGAGAAGATCGCCGGGGTTTGCAAGCCGACTCACGCGATCAGTACGTTTCGTTTTGTGATTTTTAAAGATTTTAAAGTTTTTCTGGACTAACAGTATCAAACTCGAACTCAGCGCCCAGAATTAGCCCAGGAAACGTGTTATTAGACTGATGAGACATCGAATTTGGGTTACATGACGGCGCAAAATAGGCTTGTCGGCTAGGCCACCCGAAAAAACGGTTTAGCGTGCTAGATTGGGCGTGTCTAGACCCAATTTCCCATTTTTAGAAGCCACACGGACAAGATCGAGGTTAGAAAGGTTTTCGCGCGTGATTTAGTGACTTTTGGCCTTTTTTGGGGGTTGTAGTTTGAAATTTCATGCAATTAAAGTGAGATGTAGTTGAAGTTGACGTTTTTCTAGTCTAACAGCATCAAATTCGAACTCTGCGCACAGGACTAGCCCAGAAAACATGTTATTAGGCTGCGCAGACATCGAATTTGGGTTACCTGAGGTTTTGGCGTGCTAGTTCGGGTCTGTCTAGACCCAATTTCCCATTTTTAGAAGGCAAACTGACAAGTTCGACGCTAGAAAGGTTTTCGCGCGTGATTTAGCGACATTTGGCCTTGTTGGGGTTTTAGTTTAAAGCTAGCTGTGCTCAACGTTAATCGTGGTTAAAGTTCACGTTTTTCTAGTCTAACAGCATCAGATTCGAATTCAGCGCTCAGAATTAGCCCTGAAAACGTGTTATTAGGCTGAGCAGACGCTGGGAGCGCTGAACATTGTCGGGGCGACCCAGCGTTGTTGCTAATCGTTTCATTTTAGAGAACGAGACAGACGGGATCGAGATCGGGACCGCGATGGTGGCCATGATCGTGATCGTGATCGGAATCGTGATCGCCGGCGCGGTGATTGGGACAGCCGGGACCGATCTGATCGGTCGGATCGCAACCGCGGCTCGCGGCACGTCGAAACGCCAGCTTTTTTGGTGAGTAAAACCCCTTGCTGGAATTTCTACGTGCTCTTAGCTAGAATTTTGTCCCTAAATTTGGTTTTTCAGGTGCCAGAATCCCCTAATCGCGGCTGGGACGACGATGAGTTGACTCGTAAGCATCCGCTCCACTTTTACGCCCGTTTTTCCAGGCTCTTCCCCACGCACGCGCTCCGATTGGGACACACCCACCCCGGGCGGCCACACCAGTCGTCGCGTATCAACGGAGAAGCTGCGTACGTGGCTCTAAAAACCATGAATTTATTGTTTTCTAGATAACATGTACGAGAGTGACCGCCGGCGCCGCGACGAACGCTACCGAAAAGGCGGCCGCGTCGACGACTCGGTGCGCTCGGTGAAGGACGGACCGCAGGAGTGCGTTAGCTTTTTGGGTACTAGGGCGGAACAAAAAAAACCGGCGTTTTTGATTCAAACTGTACCTAAAAGTCATTGATGCGGTCCCGAAACAAAAAGCTCATTGTGTTGCTTCTCCGTTTTTGCGAATCGAAATTACGATCTCCTTTCTACACTTTACGTCTGCTACACCGTTCTTGTTTTTGCGATTTAGGCATGAAACGTGAGAATCGAGAAGACTTCAACGAGGCGAACGGCTGGGTTCCCGTCGGTTCTTGAAATTAGGGATTGCTGGATTTAGTTTGCTTTTTGCGAAGCGGGCGAAACGGTTTTGTTGATTTTTTTAAAATAACAAATTCTTAATTTTTCCGACTTTCCTGGCAGCCCGATCGCTACTTTTGAAAGCGATCGAGAAAACACAACCCGCGTGACGTTGGAAACGATAAAATTGCGTTTTTGGAAAAGTCTTGTAACTTTCAGCGGAAAATTCCCAAAATCTAGCCCAAGTATCGGAATTTCGAGAATCGAAGAGAACAGACCTATTCGCCTCATCGAAGCTTTCAATTTAACTCTAAATCGTGACGATCCGGCCAATGGGGTCATTTTTGGATCATTGTGTAGTCAAAAACCCGACAAGCCTCAGTTCGTAGAATCTTTCATTTCCAGGCCGCAATTCCAAGACGACGATGAGCGCCGAGAATGGGAGCGTGAGCAGAAGCAGCTCGACCGCGAGTGGTACGAGAACGACGGGGCTTTCGACGACGAGTACAATCCGTTTGCAAAGGTATCGAAAGCTGCAAAATTTTGAAACCCCCACATTTTTTAGGTCTCTGAGGACTACGTGAACAAGAAGGAGAAGCAGTGGCACGACAAGTCGGACAAGCCGATCAAAAAGAAGCTCTCGCTGCGCCAACAGCAAATCAAGCGCGAGAATGAGATGTGGGAGAACAATCGGCTGAATCGATCGGGTAAACGGATTGGTTTTTTGAAACCCTTGACAAGATTTTGAGGCTTTTGGGAGTTCTGACATCGAGTGGTAGAAATTAGGAGAAATTCCTAGTTTTTTTTTGCCTTAATAAACATGGTCTCCCGAAAAAATCGATCCCCTCTAGCGGCCGGAAGAAAGCTCGGGTCGGGATGATTTTCGCAAGCTCTCGGAAATACGAGAAAACAAAGTTTTCCAAAATGTTGTAGCCATCGCTCGATATTGAAGGATCTCTTAAAAAATTGCGAATTCAGCATCGAGCTATTAGCTTGGCCAATCAATGAAACTAAACGATCTGCAGTTTTCATGGATTGTTGTCCTAAAATTCGTGAAATACAATTTGGGAATTGAAAACCGAAAATCGCTCGTTTTCCTCTCGCTCTTCCGAGGGTTTTCGATAGAGGTTCTGCAAAATAGTCAAAATTGGCGGCTTCTGCGCGGCCCGCTAGAGGAGGGTAGATTCTTTGTGGCACCTTGTGGGGTAGGTTATATCAATTTCCGTAGCTAAAACATGCCATTATCCGATCGACCTTCTTGCAGGCATCATCAACGTGAATCCGGACCAGGACTTTGAAGACGACGAATCGGACGCCGACCGTGTCAACCTGCTCGTCCACAACGTCATCCCGCCCTTCCTCGACGGGCGCATGGTGTTCACCAAGCAGGCGAAACCCGGTAGGTTTCCATCCTCTTTGTGATTTTACAAATTTCGGTTCTTTCGCATTATCGGCGGGAATATCTAAAAAGTGTTAAAAAGGCGACATTTTGGTTGAAGATCAATCTTTTTGATTTATTTTTTACAAATTCGTAAAGTTTTCGCGTTTAGGCATAGTAAAAACCATTTAGAAACACTTCTTTTATTTATATGTGACAAATTAGATCCTAAGAAAAAAAGTTGGCCCCCCGATAATGCGAAAGAACCCCCCATTTTTAGTGCTCCCCGTCGTCGACACCACCTGCGATATGGCCGTGGCGGCCGTGAAGGGCAGCAAAGTCGTCCGTGAGCATCGAGCCGAGGAGGAGCGTCGCAAGGTAGATTTCCCGTGATTTCTGCTATCAGCCTTGTTTTTTAGGCCCAAGACAAGTTCGAGCTGGCCGGAACGAGCCTCGGAAACATCTTGGGCATGGCGCAGAAGCCCGACGATGCCGAGGCCCCGGACGGCGATGAGAAGGATTTCAAGTATGAATTTTGACAGTTGCTAATTTGCTTTTGTTTTAGGCAATCCCACCAGTTCGCGTCTGTAATGGGCGAGTCCGAGGCCGTCTCTGAGTTTTCGATGGAAAAGTCGATCAAGGTGAGGCTTGAAAGTCTGATGACGCTTTCGCAACGCTGTACCGAATTTTCGTTGCTTCCGGAATGGCCTTAATTGACGCGCACCTGATTGTCGGCTTTGGAATCGCCAAATCGGCCATAATTCCTGTGTTCTCGCCAAAAAAACGTGTATTTCTCGAAACCGGAAAATTCTGAAGGCTGATTTGGAATCTGCGGAAATTCTGCGTTAGCTAGTCCCGGTCAAATCGCAAAGCATCGGCTTCTGATTTTACTGTTTCCCCTGACCAAACTTGTAATTTCTCGAATTCCGATTAAAGGGCTGCCGACGGCATGTGTCGATCCCCCCCATCAACAAATTGGCAAGTAGCCAACAGAGCAGAGAGCGCGCCCGGGGGAGAGGCGCAGAGACATTTTCTTTTCCGCGCGTAACCGATTGACTATGCCGTCGGCATCCCTTTAATCTGGAGGTACGGTCGTAATCAGCGCGAAATTCTGCAGCAGCTAATCTTCGTCAAATCCTCAAAGCTCTTCTTTCCGCGAGATAGTACGTTATCTTTTTTTCAGGAACAACGCGAATACCTACCCGTGTTTGCCTGCCGTCAGAAGATGATGTCGGTGATCCGCGAGAACAACGTGGTCATCATCGTGGGCGAGACGGGCTCCGGGAAAACGACGCAACTGGCGCAGTATCTCTACGGTACGCGTTGCCTTATTACTCGAAAATCACGCGTTTCTAGAGGAGGGCTACGCGGAGCGCGGCATGATCGGCTGCACCCAGCCGAGACGTGTCGCCGCGATGAGTGTTGCGAAGCGTGTGGCCGACGAGATGGGCGTGGAGGTACAGGAATTTTACGTTTTCTTGGAGACTATCGCGAAAAAATCTCTAACGGCTTGCAGAGCCTGAATTTGACGATTTGGAGTTTTTTAGCGTATAACCAGGGTTGAAAAGCCGCTTCGCGCCTTTTCAACCCTGGCCCCCGTCTAGCGTCATAATATGCTTCATTTTACATAACTCTCGCGAATTCCGATGACAAAAAAAATGAAAATTTCTCCCTCCGCCCATTATATAGAGTCGCGCCATTTCCGGCATATGCTAATTGATTCCTAACAAAGTGGGTGCTCCATTTTCTAACAAAAACTTAATTTTAATGTCGAAAATAGCATAATTTGCAAAATCTGATGTGTGTGCAGTCATCTCAGCGCCATTACGCACCTAATGACGTACCATACGTTGCTTAAAACCCTTTCCCTCTCGAGATATCCTCCGGACACCCTGACGGAAGTTGCATGCAAAGTGGCACACACACACACACAAACACACAGACACTATTTTTTTATATATAGTAGGATTGCGAACCAATTTAGCGTATACTTGCGAACCAACAAGCCGTTTTCGTTTTCCTGGATTGTCGATTTTATTTGACGTTTTACCCCCAAAAATTTGCGACCTTTTCGTCGGTTCTACGTCAATACGCCTGCTTATTCGCATTTTCGAGGGATTTCGAATGGTAGAAAAAATCAGCCGGATCCGTGCTTACCCGGGCCTCTAAAGCGGTTTTTTTGAAAACCCTGTAAAAATGACATTTTTTTAGCTGGGCCAGGAATGCGGGTACGCCATCCGTTTCGAAGACTGCACCTCCGAAAAGACGGTCATCAAGTATATGACGGACGGTATTTTACTCAGGTTTGATGCGTTTTGCTTTTCTAAGTTTTAGTTCAGGGAGTGCCTCGGCGACTCGGAACTCGACCAATACGCGGCGATCATCATGGACGAGGCCCACGAACGGTACGAGAAATTGTAATACGAAAATGCTTGTTTTTCAGTTCGCTCAACACTGACGTGCTGTTCGGCCTGCTGCGTGACGTGGTGGCGCGCCGGAGCGAGCTGAAGTTGATCGTCACCTCGGCTACTATGGATGCGGAAAAGGCGAGTGTGAACGGCTTTTATGACTTTATTCGCCTTTTAAACGCAAAAAATAGACTAGAAAACATGTTTTCCGGGAATTTGGAGGCTCGTGCCGTAATTTACGCCCTCAATACCTATAAAACTTTGGAAAACGCTTTTTTAGTTCGCCAACTTCTTTGGCGGCATGACGCCGACGTTCAACATCCCTGGCCGGACATTCCCCGTCCAAATTATGCACTCTCGATGCGGCGTCGATGACTATGTGGACGCGGCTGTCAAGCAGGTGAAACTGTCTCTTTTTCGCTTATAAATGAAGTTTTAGTGCATCACCATCCACCTCGGCGGCCTCGACGGCGACATCCTGATCTTCATGCCCGGCCAGGAAGATATCGAGGTGAAGTGGATGGAATTTTGGCATGTGACATTTAGGTATCCGCTTCACTGATTCGGCAGCGGCTAGAAGCCCTCGACGAAGCCCCACCCCTGGCCGTGCTCCCCATCTACTCGCAGCTGCCCAGCGATCTGCAGGCCAAGATCTTTCAGCGTGCCGCTGGTCGGTTTTGTTTGGCTTTTACGCCTGCTAAAGCCACGGATTCCAAAAAAATCCCCCTACCTCGCGGCCGCAACGGGCCGATTTTCGAAATTGCGTGATTTCTCACTGGATTTTCTGCTTTTTTTCATGCGGAAGTAAGACATTTATCGAAAATCTTAATATGATCGGCTTAGGTGTCATCCGCGCTGTGTTTTCTCAAATGACAAAAATTTTCAAAATTTTGGACGTAGAATGCCGACTCTGCATGATAAATTCATCTTTCCGTTAGCTCTGGTCCCTCTGACCGCTCCCCCGACCGTACTCGCGCAGGCAACTGGCAAGAATGAAGAAATTTCGATTTTTGTACGCTATGCAAATTAGTTGCCGGGTCCGAAAAATCAAGGAGCACCGGCTTTAACGTTGTACAGGGTGTCCCAAAAAAAAAGACCCCCCCCCCCCAAAAATTTGAGCCAGAGGACACCTACGGGGCTGAAAATTTGCACAGGGGTAGCGAAGCCAATTTCCCATGTATATGGAAAGTTTGAGCCATTTCGGCCGACGGGTTTTAAAGTTATAGCGAAAATACTTTTCATTTTTAATTTAATATGGGGATTTTTGCAATTTGCATCAAAAATATGCGTTATTCTTGAATTTACGAGCCGATTTTGCATAAATTTTGCCAAAAAATGCCAGTTTCTTGCTGGAGCTTTTGGAAAACGATTGCTCATGCAGCGTGAAAATGATCAGCAAAGCCGCTGAGTACAAGATACATTGGTTGAAACTATCGTTCAGCGCCTGAACTTCTCTTAGACTTTGGACTGACTTAAACCCAAGCCCAAATTTAAACTTAAGCCCCACTTAGAAGCTCATCGAACTCTGTTTCGGGGCTAGCGCGAAGCAGATTGCCAAAATGCACAATAAGGCGTGGTTTGGATCGATAAAACAGTTGTTTTCACACTCTTTTTACTCTTCATAAGCAATCGTTCGCGCCATGCTTCAGCAAGAGAATGGCATTTTTTGGCAAAATTTATGCAAAATCGGCTCGTAAATTCAAGAATAACGCATATTTTTGATGCAAATTGCAAAAATCCCCATATTAAATTAAAAATGAAAAGTATTTTCGCTATAACTTTAAAACCCGTCGGCCGAAATGGCTCAAACTTTCCATATACATGGGAAATTGGCTTCGCTACCTCTGTGCAAATTTTCAGCTCCGTAGGTGCCCCCTGGCTCAAATTTTTGGGGGGGTCTTTTTTTGGGACACCCTGTAGTTAGGTGTGGCCTTGACATTTGAGCCAACACCGCTGGGATGACGCTTAAGCCGATTTAATTGTTTTTTAAAAAAAACGCGGAACTTTGGCATCGAAAATGTCAAAAATCGCGCCAGAAATGCCGGAGTTTAGAAACTCGGACGGAACATATCTCTTCAGCTCGCCCATAGCTTTCGATAGATACCTCCATCGTAAAAATCGGACATGATATTTCTCTTTTAGGCGGCATGCGCAAGGTGATCGTGGCCACGAACATTGCCGAGACGTCGCTGACCGTCGACGGTATCCTGTTCGTCATCGACCCGGGCTTCTGCAAGATGAAGGTGTACAACCCGAGGATCGGTATGGACGCCCTACAGGTATCGTGCCAATTCCAGCTTCACCCCTCCCTAGGTGTTCCCCATCTCGCAAGCGTCGGCCAACCAACGTTCCGGACGTGCCGGTCGCACGGGCCCCGGGCAGTGCTTCCGCCTCTACACTGAACGGCAGTTCAAGGACGAGCTGCTGGTCGCCACGGTGAGTTTTTGGTGCGCATTTGATCATTTTCCTGGCACTTGTAGGTGCCCGAAATCCAGCGCACCAACCTATCCAACGTGGTGTTGCTGCTGAAGTCGCTGCACGTCGAGGACCTGCTGAAGTTCCACTTTATGGACCCGCCGCCGCAGGTAGATTCGTTGGCTTTAATTTGGTAATTAAAAATGTTTTTATAGCGTTTAGTGATTTTTTGATAGTTAGATAGTCATAAAAAGTATTAAACAAATTTCCGAAAATTCGGAAAATTTCGCGTTTTTCATACTTTCTTGACCAGGTAGTCGAAAATTTTGAAGATTTTTGTGAGCTTTGTATGTCTAAAATGTGAAAAACGCGATCAAAATCGTTTATTTTTCCCTATAAGCCCTGCGGGATTACTGGGGAAAATTGGGATATCCCGCTAGGACTCCCTTCCCCCGCTAACAACCCAGTACCAAATTTTCTAGGACAACATGCTCAATTCGATGTACCAGCTGTGGACGCTGGGCGCGCTCGACAACACGGGCCAGCTGACGGATCTTGGAAGGTATGCCAGAAATGATCTTTTCTACAAACCGATGTTTTCAGAAAAATGGTCGAATTCCCGCTGGACCCGACGCTGGCCAAGATGGTGATCATGTCCGAGGAGATGGGCTGCAGCGAGGAGGTGCTGACGATCGTCTCCATGCTCTCCGTGCCCGCGATCTTCTTCCGGCCCAAGGGCAAGGAGGACGAGGCCGACATGAAGAAGGAGAAGTTCCAGGTGTGTTTTGGATAAAAGGTTGTAAAAGCTTTATTTTATGCTTAAATAAAATTAAAATAGCTCTGAAACTTAAATAAATTTTTGCAAATATTTTCCTAGGTCCCCGAGTCCGACCACTTGACCTTCCTGAACGTCTACGTCCAGTGGAAGCAGCACAAGTACTCGTCAAAGTGGTGCGTCGACAACTACGTCCACGCAAAGGCCATGAAGAAGGTAATGGCTTTTTCAGGGCATTCATTGTGTTTCGTTTAGGTACGCGAGGTGCGCGCCCAGCTGAAGGAGATCATCGAGCAGCAGAAGATGAAGCTGATCAGCACCGGCCACGAGTGGGACATCATCCGGAAGTGCGTCTGCTCGGCGTATTTCCACAATGCGGCTCGGTAAGGTGTCGAATTTGATGATGACGCTTTTTTCTAGGCTGAAGGGTATCGGAGAGTACGTCAACATTCGCACGGGTATCCCGTGCTTCCTGCATCCGACTTCCGCCCTCTTTGGCATGGGCTTCATGCCGGATTATGTGGTTGGTATTTAGCTGTTTCTTGAAGTGGCTTACTCCTCGCGATAAGCGCTAATTTCGAAGCTTTAGGTCTACCACGAGATCATCATGACCACCAAGGAGTACATGCAGTGCGTGACGGCCGTCGACCCGGTGTGGCTGGCCGAGCTGGGCCCCATGTTCTACTCGGTCAAGGTATCGGACCGTACTTTTCACAGATCACCTTCTATCTTTCCAGGAGTCCAGGCAAACCCACTTTGAGAAGCGCCAGGAAAGCGTGCGCAACCTGGCCACCATGGAGCGCCAGATGAAGGAGGCGCAGGTCGAGATGGACAAGTGCGTTTTTCTGTTATTTACCTAGTTTTTTTGGCCTTTTTTGGTTTGGCCTTTATCAATGTTCTTGGTAGTCTTTATAAAGCTACTTAATAACCGATTTTTCCAGACGCAAGGTGGAGAGCGAGCGCGTCTTCAAGCACCCGGGCAGCATCAAGATGGCCGACGTCGGTCGCAGCGTGCGCAGCGCCCGTCGATTCGGAATGTAGAACCAAGCGCCCCCTTAGTTTCACATGTTCATACACTGTTGCGTGGATCTCTTGTTGTTATCGTGTATGTGTTTCCCCCTGCAAAATTGTCGGTGATTTTCAATTGGACCTCTCTTTTCGTTGATTTTGGCATCTGTTCGGCGGCCATCGGCTATTTTGATAAATATTTACAATGTAAGGTAGATGACGTTGCAAATAAAGCGAGGTTGGGACCGAATATTGAAAAGAAGCATTAGAAGAGGCTGCCCGACACTTGCGGGCTGAAACTTAAGCCATGCGTATATATCGAAAGAGATATTTTCCCTCCATCCAACACTTTCGTCAATTTATACGCTGAAATTTCTTTGAATTCATGGGTTAGAGTGAAATCGCCGCTTTCCTTTCAGTTCGTTTGAGCACGACCGCCAAATATGTTGCTAGGAAATGCCGATCTATTTTTGGCGCGGAGATTGAGCTCAAAACACGCAGAAACTTTTGTTCCAAACCAATATGATATTTCCAAGGTTATTTATTTTGCTAGGAACTGCTAGGAAACTTATAGTCCCCGTGCTATCGAAAAAATAACACTAACGCCAAGGTTAAAGCGGTTTGATTAAAAATTTCGGCGCGCAAGTGTCGTGACGCTTTTAGATAAAGTGTTATTATGTTATTGCGACTTCTTTAGTTTATTTTTTCCTTTTTAATTGTTTATTTATACTTGTTTTTAGTGGGCCCAAAAATGAAATGTCGGTGATAATCAGCGTGCTCGCCCGGTCGCGCCATCAACTACACGTTTTTCGGCGACACGCCTCCTACGTTGAGCGCAAGAAAAACTATTATGAGGTCCGTTTTTTGAGATTATGATGAAATTCAGCTTCCGTGGTCTCTTCAGTTTTATCCTTTTTTAGATCCTCGGCGTAGACCGGAAGGCCAGCCATGAGGACATCAAGAAGGCGTTTGTGAAACGAACACAGGTGTGAAAACTTGCAGTTTTGGGAACTTATAAAGTTTAGGAGCTCCATCCAGACTCTGCCTCGGGCTCCTCGACCCCCACGGATTCGCGCGTCGGCTGGAGTCGAAGATCGCAGACCGAGCAGTTCATGGATGTGAAGGTGCACTTAGAATTTCGTAAAGAGAAAGAGGTTCCTATTTTTTTCAGGATGCTTACGACACGCTGCGAAAAGCGGACAAGCGCCGCGCCTACGACAAGACGTACTTCCTGTCTGAGCAAGAGGGGTGAGGTTTACTTTTGGAGCTCGGAAATGTTGCGTCGTTTTCTTGAGATGGCTTAGAGCCCAAGCCCTGGCTTGGTTTCGGCTTTTGGATGCAGTTTTTGATGGTTTTTGTCATTCTTTGAGAAAGACAGGGTGGTGGATGGTCGGAAAGGCTTTCCCAATTTTCTAATTTTTAGGCAAATCTTGCATAGCTATTTAGATTTTAAGATGTAAATGCGCCATTTCAAAAAGGTATCTCCACTTGGGTTTGCGCCGACCGTCCGCCACGGGGTTTTTTCCAAAGAATGACGAAAACTGTCATAAATTTGCATCTGAAACTCCAGCAGAGATCTGTACTAGAGTGCCTCGGGCGAAAGAAGCCCAAAAATGTCAAAGTTGATTTTTACTTTGTTTTCAGGCATTTGAAAACTTTAATTTTAGGTATCTACACCAAGCTTCCGTGTCCCGTGCTGCTGCCAACGACCAAACGATACGCGCGATGAATCGGGTGTCCAATTCGGCGAGTGCGATGCGAGGTAAGAAAAAGAATCTTCCTTTGCCTCTTTAAAACGACTATTTTTGGGGATCTTTCGCATTATCGGGGGGACCACTTTTTTCATTGGATCTAACTTTTCAAATAAAAATAGAGCAAGTGTTTCTGAATTGTTTATTGCTATTCCGAAACATAAAAACATCAAATAGATGTTAAGGATATCGATTTTTCGACCAAAAATCGCCGGTTTTTGGCAGAGATTTTAGATGGTTTTATAGTTTAAGTTTCGCGATATTTTACTGAAAGCACTAATGAGATACTTCTTATTAAGTTTTTAGGCTTCAATTCCGGTCTCCCCCGATAATGCGAAAGAACCACCTTTGGTCGCTTAAGCTTTTTTATGCGTTGTTTACTTTCCTTTTTAATTCATCCTGTTTCAGCGCAAATGAGCCCCCACTCCCAAGGCCACTTCATCAACCCGGAGGAGGAGCTGCGACGCGAGAAGAGCAAGGACCGTGGCCTCTACCTGATCGGCTCGCTGTTTCTGCTGGTCGTCCTGCTCAACATCCTCTACGTGCGCAACATGAAATCGTCCAGGGTAAAGTCTTACTAGCCATATTGTGTATGTATTTTTTATAGATGTTCTATAGCAAATAAAATGTTTTTATTCCCGACCAACAAACATCCGAAACCGATTCTGGGGGATCACATGGAAAAATGAGAAACTTGGAAGATGAGGGCTAATCACACGGGTGGCGGGACAGAAACGGGAGGAAGTTGAGGGTCTCGAAGTGGCGAGATCTCGGCCTGTGGGGGTACTTCAGTGGTTTTACTTGGTTTGGTGATTGGGAAATATTTAAGTTAGTTGTATCTAAGAAATAACGCTGTAATAAGTTAGACGGTGGCGATGAACGCGTCGAGCTTTTCGAGCAGCTGCTTCTCGAGGTCGGTCATCACCTGGGAAAGGAAATATTAGCGTCTGGAATGACAGAAGATGTAGAAATTTTATTTAATAGAAAGCGTGGGTCTTTTGCGATATCGGGGGGGGGGTATCGGGGAACCCAAGTTTTTTCCAGGGCTTAATTTTTTGTAATATAAAGCGGATTTCTAAACTTTTTTGATTGGATTTTGATTAAAAATACAAAAATATTGATTTGACGATTTTCAATTTTTAAATAAATTTCCTTTGAAGTTTTTTATTGTTTTTTCCACTCGAACTAAAGTTGCATCGTTTCAAAACCCACCTCCATAAGCGCAATCCGTAGTGGCTTCTCCAGGTCGGCGTCCTTGCCGAGCAGCTTCAGCGTGACAATCTTGAACGTTTCGCAGTCGCTCTTGAACGCCTTCTCCAGCTGCTTCTTCTTCAGCTCGACCTTGTCCATCTGCATCTGGTTGAGGAGTGAGAGTCGCTGCTCGCGCTCCAGGCTCTTCATCTCGGCGTCGTCCTCGTCATCGGCGTTGGTGGCGAGCGAGGAGAGCTTGAGGGTGCCTGGAAACGGGAAATTTAGAAACATTTTTCATTTTTGCGCAGAAATTTAGATAAAACACTGCTCACCTCCCTCCTCCTCCTCGGGCGGCTCGTACTTGATGGCGGAGGCGATGGTGCCCTGGATGTCCTTGATGCTGCCGAGCAGCCGATCCGTCAGCCCATACTTTTGCTGCCCGTTGGCCGGCTGTTGCTTGGCGGCATCCTAAAATCGAGGTTTAACTGGGTTTTTTTTGCTAATTTTGGTAGCAGTAGTTCAGTTGCCTATTCCTCACGAAGCAAACTAGCAAAGACCATTTGGGAATTTTCTAACTTTCTAACAATTTATTTCTTACTCGCCATATTGGCCTCTCATGACATAATTTAGGCAAAGAAAACTAGCAAAGGTCTTTTCGGAACTTTTCCAGCCTAATCTTCACCCAATACTTATCTATCTGGTTTCGTCTAACTTAGCTTTAGAAAAGACCGGCTAGCGAAGACCATTTGGGAATTTGTTCAACCCGATTTCTACCGGTCTCGTGTTGTCTAACCCAATTTAGAAAAGGCGGACTATCGGATCATTTTGGAAATTTTTCCCAAAACGAAAAATTTTCCTAAACATTTTCCAAAAACCGCTTCGCGGGCTTTGCGCTGGAATTGGTGTTTGGCAGATAATATTTGATTTTTCTTATATAGCTCGGGCCAACCGACGCACCCGCGCGTGCAGCTGACAAGAATGAGGGAATTCCTATTTTTTAGGATTATGCAAATTAGCCCTGGAACACCGAAAAATGTTTAAAACGGGATTTAAATTTGTAAGCTTGTTTTTTATCGAAATTCTGAGACCACCATCGGCATGAGTGGATCGATTCCCCCGGGGCTACGGAAAATTAAAGCATTTATCAAAGACCATTTGGGAATTTTTGCAACCTGCTGAATTTACCTTCGTCTAACCTACTTTTATACAAGGCCGGCTAGCAAAGACCCTTTGGGAATTTCCCATCCCCAAAATTTTCCCGCATTTCTAACCCAAAGTTGAGTTCAAATCCAAATCATTACACAGTAGTTGAGCAGCATATCCGCCAACGGCATATCGTAGCTGGTCGACGGCGAGTGCCCACTTGGCCCGGCTTGCTGAGGTTGAACCTGGTGCCCGACCGGGAAGGCCAGCCGGTTGATCTCGGGCTTCACGTCGAACTGGTCGAATGGGGGCATCGAGTTCGGGAAGTGCGGCATGAAGTGCTGTTGGAACAGGTCCGGGTGGTCGCCCATCATCATCATCATCGCCGGGTTGTTGGCGAAGTGGTTTTGGGGTTGGGCGGGTACGTTGATCGGTTCTGGCTAAGACAAAGGAGGTTAACAAGTTTTTGGCGATCTGCCAGGCTTCCAAAGGAGGTCAAGCTCGCCGAAATGGAGCATGACCTTTAGAAATCGAAGTCTAAGCCTAAGCCAAGCCTAAGCCAAGCCTAAGCCAAGCCGAAGCCAAGCCTAAGCCAAGCCTAAGCCAAGCCTAAGCCAAGCCTAAGCCAAGCCTCGGCCAAGCCTAAGCCCAAGCCTAAGCCAACTACAGAACTACGCTCCACTCCGCTCCAAACGACACCTGTTTCTTGGCCATATCACAGTGCGTGTGCTCGTTGCGGCAGCTCAGGATCACCCCTTCGGTACTTGTGACCAGGCGAGCCTTGCAGAACTTGCGAATACACCGCCAATACCACCGCTCTTCGCCGTTGGCCTGCACGTACGCTTTGTCGTGCATGTACTCGACGTTGCCAAAGACGGCCGTGTAGCCGCCCTTTGAACCGGCCTAAAGCTCCAGTCAAACGAGGCCTATGAGCCGATACCTTGACGCTCTGGTACTTTCGGGTGGGCACAAAATGGACCCGGAGGCCCTTGGCCGGCTCGAGCTCGCTTACGGCGCCGTCCATTCTAGGATCAGAGCAGTTCATCGAACGAATGGATTCAAGCAATAGTGGACACCTTTTTAGGAGCAAAACGAAAAACAAATATGGAAAATGGGTTCTTGTGTATTTCCGGGGGTGGGGGGATTTTTGGTAAAAATACAAAAAAAGCGACTTTTGACGAAAAATGACCTCTTTTCGACTAAAATTGCCCTAAAAATCTTTTCTACCATTTTTTGTTTTTTTTTACTTAAATTATAGTTAGTTTTTACTGAAGATTTGATTAAAACCCTTACTATTACGTTAATAAACAGTTCTAAACATCTACAAGAAAGTTCGGCCACCCCCCGATAATGCAAAAAAAACGAATATTGATATTATATTTTATCAATCAAAATTTGCACAGTTTTTGTATTCGGTTCTGCACGGTAGTTTGTCCTTTTTCATATTAGAAAATTCGAGCGATTTTTAAAAACGTTTTCCCCCTTTCGAAATGCCAAAAACCCGGAAAGAGTAGCCTAAAAACACAACGTTCAAATGCCAATCGAAGTCGAGAAAAGATTCGAAATCGAGGAAATACGAAGAAGAAAAAGAACAAGAAGAAGCCGACAATATTCGACGAAAATGGCAGAATTCGGCGCGTTCGGCAAGAAGCGGAGATCGATTCGGCGCAGTGGCGGAGGGGGCGGCCCGTTTTCGAGCTGATTCGACCGCGTGGCTCTCCGGCTTTTGCCCACACTCTCGCCGGGGTGTGCCCTGTGCGGTGTGGTATTCGGTGTCTCGGCTCGGGGCTCTCCTCCTTCCCCCCGTATCTCGCCTTTTCGTGCTCTGCTCCCTTTCGATTCGCGGTGTTCTCTCTTAGGCTCACGTAACCCCACACCCCTCGTCGTCAGGGAATATAGCCAGCAGCTGGAAGCTGGCGCCAACCAATTTCGTTTCGTTTTTGTTATCAAAACGAGCAGCTAGAAAAAGCATTCTTTAGATACTTTTCCATTTAAGCTTCTTTAAGCGTCATATAAGCCCAGGAAAGCGACAACTTCCAATTCTCTCTATAACAAGAAGAAAAACGCTTCCGGGAAATTTCCAAAAACCTGATTTCGACAAGAAAACCAATTACGAACTCAGAAGACGTCAGAAGATACAAAATTATTTTCGAACCCGCTTTGCAGGCGCATTATACAACCAAAATTTTACTTCCCGCAAACTTCCCGCATGAGCGCGTAAAACTGGGAAAAATCAAAATTTTTGGCGAGATGCAAATTACGTTTGAAAGCAACCGCACGAGCGCGTAACACTTCGGAAAATGTTGACATTTTCACGTTATGCAAATTACTTGCGAAGCAACTGCACGGGTGCGTACAATCGGGATAAATCACAGGATTTCCGCGTTATGCAAATTATGCAAATTACCCTCGCTAATTCGAGCTTCATAGACCTCCGAAAATTGTGCATATTCGTAGAAAAATTTCCAAATGGTCTTTGCTAGTTTTCGGCTAGCTTTGTCAGATGGTGTTCTGATAACTGGGATAAACATTCCCAAATGGTCTTTGTTAGTCGACCTTTTCACAGCCTCTCATAATACAATATATATACTCCTAATAAAAATCTGCAAAATCTCACGCACCTCTCCATTCATCGCAGCCGCGTGTTGATGGTGTACTTTCGGTGGGGGCGCGGGAGGCTGAGCCGGAGGGAGAGGTGGCAGCTGAATCGAGGCGGCGGATACGGCACAAGGAGCCGGAGGGGGTGCCTCGTTTCTAGGAGCGACGGCCACGGCTGGAGGTGTTGGGGCTACCGGCTGTGGTGACGGTTCCGGCTCGATAGGCTGTAACTAGGTGGTGGCAAATAGGAAGGAAGGCATGAGAAAGGCGGAATTTTTGAGCCCGTGGTTTCGTGAGTCAGAAAGTGAGAATTTCGAAGCGTTAAGCCCCCTTCATGTCCATGAAACGTGGCATATTTCTAGTTTTGAAGAGCGGTAGTAAATTCAGAAATCGAGATGATGATCAGCACCTTCGACCCTATCTGTGTGCAAATTTTCAGACAATCCTGAGCCCTGGTTTGTTCAACGTTGAGAAATTTCTTGAGTTTTCTTACGATTGACTGCGTTTGTTTTTTATGTAAGAATTGATGTATTTGTAATTTTCGTTACTACGCTGAGTAATAATGTAATACTTACCTTAAACCGCGGCATCGGCGGGGTCATGTGCTGCACCTGAGGGGGCGGAGGTGGGATTGGCGCTGGCTTCGGCGGCATTGGCACGTGCGAATGTAGCGGAGCCGGCCGGGAATGGAACACTGGCTTAGGCGGTGTTGGCGTTGGGGCCACGACTGCTGGCGGTGTGGGGGCGACACGTTCGACAGGGGCAGGCTTGGGCACCGGTGTCGACACCGGGGTGAACACCGGGGTCGAGGCTGGCGTTGGTGGAGGAGTGGGTTCTGAAGGGGCAAAAAAATAATTTTTTTGTCGTTAATTAAGTTTTAAATTTACTTTGTAAAAGTATACCTTTTTCAATGTCCATGGGTTCTTCGGCGGGCGGCGGCGCCGGGTCCTGTTTCAGCAAGTCGTTCTTGACAATCGGCTTCGAGTCCTAAAACAGGATTTTTCTTTTTCTTTTTTTTTCTAAGAATCCGTATTTTCTAATCGGGACTAGAGGATGTTTTTTCTCAACTGTTTTTTTTTACTATTCTTAAGCCTAAAAACTTTACAAATTTTGGGTCGGCCGATTTTTGACCAAAACTTTACCTAAAAAGTTTTTTTTAAGGTTTTGTGATTGGTTTTCCACTTAAAATATCGCTTAATTTTACCAAAAATTATGAAAATAGTAGCGGATACATGGATTTCTGGGTTTGTAAAAAAAATTGGTCTCCCCCCGATAATGCCAAAGCTCCAAGACAAGCGCTAACAAAACGAAGTTTGAACTTTTTAGGCCGAAAAATGGCTAAATAAACGGTTTAAATATAATTCATATTGACCTACCCCCTCGAGCCCGAATTGGATCTTCGTATTCTGGAGTTGCTTGGCCGTCTCGGATTGCACCGGGGGCGGCAGTTCAATATTCGGCAGCGGCGGCATCGTGATCGAGATTTTGATGTCTTTGTCGTTGCCACCAATCTGAAAAGACGATTCAAATGGCGTTTATGTTTTGTAGTTTATTGTTAGTGATTTTTGAGAGCCCTACCTTCGGGTCCCCGACGCGAAGCGGCGATTCCGAACGTTCCCTCGTCGGCTCCTTGGACGAGACCCGCGAGTGGCTCTTCTCCCTCCTCGAACGCTCCCGATCCGAGCCGTCTTCGGAAACTGGAGAACCGCTGGCGCTGCGCTTGCGACGTTTCCTAAAAATCAGAATATAGAAGAACTTTGAGATGTCGAAATTCGTTTTTCGAGTTTCATTTCGCTGAAATGTCATTTTGTCGAAAGATTGCAAGTCCAAAACCTACTCCTTCTTGGCCGCCTTGCGAGCGCGCTTCTCCTCCTTCTTCTTGCGACGCCGCTCGTCCTCCGAATCCTCTTCCGGTGAGCGATTTCTGCGGTAGCCGCCGCGGCTGGAGCGCGAGCGCGAGCGTGACCTCGAGCGAGAGCTGCCGGAGGAGCGGCTAGGATAACTTTCTGGTGACTAAAGAAAAATGATACCTCCTCGACCTCGACCGCCTCGAGCGGCTCCTGGAGCGGGAGCGGGAGCGCGAGGATTCGTCTGAGCGTGAGCGTCGGCGTTTACGCTCATCGCGCCTAAAAAATAATGCACAAATTAATGGATTTAAAAATTAAAATACCTATCATAGCCGCGATTCATCCCGCCACTATAACGAGCACGACCACGGCTTCGAAGAGCGGCTAAAAGATATAATTTAAGCTGGAATTTGCATCTCGATTTTTTAGGAAAATGTCACCTGACCGGTTTTAGGATAAGCAATAGTAATGTGCCGTTCACCAATCGATAGTATATAAATAGATAAGTTTTAGGGTATTCTTACCGCCGCCTCTACCTTGTTGGGCTGCCTGGTAGGAGGCGTAGCGGCGGATGTCGCGAAACCATGTCATCTCACAGGGGTATCCAAGAAGGTCCCGGTCTTTGTATCTAAAAGATATTTAGTACGGATTGGGTGCTTTACGCTTAACGGGGGAAGCTAATTTTTATTTTCCGTTTGTACTCATTGGTTGATAATAAATAGCGTTTGGGTTTTTTCTGATTTATCGTTTGCTTAGCATAGGCTTAGCTCAGGTTTAGCTTAGGCTTAGCTCGAGCCTAGCTTAGGCTTCGCTTCAGCTTAGCATCCACATTTTTAGGATTTTGGTTAGTTTTTCATTGCTGGAAGCTTTAAAAATCATTTTATTAATTTTAGAAGTACGAAATTTTTATGTTTTTCGTAATTTTCCGTGATTTTGCCGAAAACGTCAAAAAAAATTGCATTTTTTCGAATGGTTCTCAACTTTTATATTAAAAAAAATGTGCAAAATTTTATAAAAAAGTGATATTTCGCGATTTTCAAGACATGGAATTTCTTGGTGGGGAAATTAGTCCCCCCGATAACGGAAAAGAACCAGGCTTGGACAAAAAAAACTCACTCATCCATACACTCCCTAGCATGCTCCCGCGATTCAAAGCGAACCGCCACAAACAGTCGGCTGCGGTCCGGCGAGATTTTCGTGAAATCGAATGAACATGGGCCAATTTTGTCGTTGAAAAAATCTCTGAAAAATCGGGGGTTAGTCGCGCAGCGTTCGGCAAAATTCCGGCCGGATCAAAATCCAAAACCAGGCCGAAACTCTGCTGCTGCTCCGTGAAACCCGGTAAAAAAACGGTTGTTAGTGCGCGTTTCTCGGGCGCCGAAAACTCTTACCACTCACCCATCCAAGGCATCCAGAGCCAGAAAAACTCGGTATCTGATTAGGCTATCAAAAACACAGGACGTAGAGCATTAGGCAAAAAGGGCTGCTGCCGGCTAATTTTCTTCGAGGCTCTTTCCCGGGGATTTCGAGGCCAGAGATTTGCCCTCAAAATTTCGAGGATCCATCGCAGCCACAGAGTGATTATTTTTAAGGTAACGGTCACACTGGTAAGCATATAGATAATGTTGGACACAGAGAACTGTTGCTGAAATTGGCGACTCTCGTATTGGAATGGAATGTGGAGGTTCGGGGCCCAGCGGCTAGGGCTAAGCCTAAGCTTAACCAAAGCTAAGCCGAAGCCGAAGCCTAAGCTTGAGCCCAAGCCGCGGACCCCGAAAGTACACCTGTTTTTGCCGGCCATCAAATACCAGATTGTCAGTGTTACCCTCTGAAAAGTTTATTGGGAAAGTACGGATGATTTTCGGTTTTTGGGTCCTAAGCCTAAAAGTCTCACCCTAAGCCTAAGCTAAGCCTAAGCCTAAGCCAAGCCTCAGCCCGAGCCCTAGCCTAAGCCTAGCCTTTTTTCTATACTTAAACCTAAGCCCAAGCCTAACTCTTTTTTAAGCATCCAGTTTAGCATCTTGGAAAATTTGTGGAACTAAACACACCCCCCGATGATGCATAAGAACCGTTTATTTCGCAATTTTATCGTCAAAATTGAACCGTACTGTCCCAATAAACTAATTAACATTAAAATGAATTAAATTAAAAGAAATAACAAGGTTTTTTTTGAAAAACGAACCGAATCTCCTCCGTGCTAACACTGCCAGGCAGACCACGAATGAAGACGGTATGCTTCGATTCGGGCACATCCTCCTCGTTGATGCGCTGGTGGTAACCGCCTCCGCGGCCGCCGCCATCACCTCCGTAGCTCCGATTCTGATAGCTGCCCCCGTTGTCGTAGTTGTTGTACGACATTTTCAGCGAGTTCGGCAAGTTCGACAAGTAAAAACAGTCGCCGGTCAAGATTTACCTGAAAAGGGAGAGTTTGGAATGATTTTTGAGGCCCAGGCAAGTTCATAAAATTGAGAACGGCGGTCAGAAAAAATGCACTAGACTATGGAATCACTCTTTTGCAGAATATTGTAAAAAGCTTGGCAATATTAGACTAAATATACTAATACGAAAGTTATACAATTTCGTTTTCGAAATTACGTTTTCGAAAACTCAGACTCACTCGGAGACTAGCGTTATCAGGGTACACGGCTTGTAAGCCGGATCTAAAAAGCATTGGCGGGAAGATACAGTTCTTCTGCGGAAAGTTTAAGGACACCGTGAAAAATACATTTGAAAAGGCTTCAGCCGAGCAAAATTCACACTCAAACACAAGCTCAAAAATAACGCGTTGAAAACGCAATTTCAGTGTTATTTTTGGCCTTCACTAGACTAGAAAATACATGAAAATGAGGTACAGGAATAGGCTCCACAAATATACCCCGGAAATCGACAGAAAATCGAAACACAGGGCCATTTTAGCAAAGCAGTTCCCGTAAGCCACGGTAACCAGGAGCAACCACTATGAATTCAGGGAATTCAGGCGCTAAAAGGATAAAATAAAGCAACAGGCGAATCGTAAAAGCCAGGGCCGGCAGAAGGTTATTAGTATGAATTAATCGAGGCCAGAAATTGGAGCTGCACCGAAATGGGAGAAGGAAAATAAACGTTTGAGTGTGGCGGGGCCAGGGTGCCTCGGAACGTGGACAATCGATTCTACGCGGGGAGGGCAGAACGGAGGGGGAGAGAGGAGGGGAGAATGAGAGGGGGCTGAAGGACTACTGCAACACCGCAGGCCATTTGTAGATAGCAGATAGCAGCTCAGGTAGTCGATTGATACTGATAGTAATACTATACTCACGAACGACACTAATAGTAACAACACACTAATAGCTGGCCTGTTGGCTGACCTGACCTGACCTAGTTTGGCTAAAAAACTAGAAAACAAAGGAAGCATGAAGAATCTCCGGTACTCGTCTGTTAGCGGGGGGGGGGGGAATTCCAAGACATCGACCATCACACACGGCGCTTCAGGAGCAAGAGGAAGACGAGCAGGGCATTTTGGTACTAGACTGTTAGCGGTGGGGGATCTTTCGCGGCGTAAAAACTAAATTTTTCCCAGCAACGCGGACGGCCCCCATTAACAAAATAAAACACCTTTTATAGAATTTTTACGCAGTTTTCAAATCTGGAAAGTTCAAAAAAATTTCAAAGGAAAAAAGGCTCGGTTTTCGGGCAAAGACGACAAAAAAGGAAAAAATTACGAAGTTACAAAATTTATTTATAATCCTTCGACCTATACCTGTTAATAATATTTATTGTATTTTTAGAATGTGCTTAGCAGTTTTTGATTAGCTAAAAAGTTACAAAAATTTTTTAAATTCTGAAAAATTCGAAAATTTTGATATTTCTTGGCCATTTTGCTATAATTTCGACGAAAAAAATCACAATTATTTTCGAACAGCTTTCATAATTTTCTGAACTTTTTATCGAATGATATATGATCTAAGGAAATGGCGTATCGTTCTTTATAGTGCCGTACGGGATTACGGGAAAGATCTGATTTAAAAAAATTAAAGTTGTTTTATTTCAACGGCAACAAAGAAACAACAAACGCAACAACAAATACCCGTGAAATCAATAAAACACGCGTAACAAGGTGACCAAAATAACAATCTCTATTTGCTTTCTATTCGACGTTCTTGCGCCGCTTCAGCTCCTCGATCTCGCGCTTCATTTCCCGGTTCTCGTAGCTGAGCTGGCCGAGCAGCTGGAAAACATACGTTTCAGTTTTCAAAAACGAACGAACCTCTTTCTGCGCGTCTCGTTTTTTATCCGATTCATCGGGAGTCTGAAACCTATATACAGATCATAATTTTTGAATATACCTTCAATCTCTCTTCCGCTTTCCTTTCCGCTTCTGCGAGCTTCATCTGCAGTTCGCCAATCTCTTGGTCACGCTTGACAATCTGTTTCCGAAGAGCCTCATTTTCTTCGAGTAGATGGAGGTTCTGAAGCAAGAGATTACGGTTTGTCCTTATATCAATTTTCATACCTGTGTTTGCAAAAGGCTTTCAAGACCCGACGATGAGCTCCGATTGTCGGTTTCTGAAACGAAAAAAAGTAAAGCTATTGGAAGATCGATCTTACCAGCTGCTTCACGCTTGATTCTTTTCCGAAGGCTGGTTGTTGTGGCAGGCGTTGGGGTCGGGTCTAGTGACTAAACGCAGCAAAATGTCTTAAAAATCACAAAAATGAAAATACTTATAGAACTTTCGGTACTGGAGTGTTACCAGGGGGAGGTTTAGTAAGGGAAACAACATTTTTAAACAATTCGATGCGGCTCTACACACAAATTTTGAGAGCATTTTGGTTACAGTTTGCAGATCATGCGGATAAAAAAAATCTGTATATTTTTGAAAATTTCTCACTTTTTGGTAAAAATGTATCAAAAACGTCCACATTTTCACTTTCGCAAAATCTTAAATATTTTGCTAACTTTCTAGTTATCAAAAACGGCTAAGAACGCTATGAAAATACATAATTTTTTATCAACAGGTCTAGGCAGCAAAAAAAAAGAAAAATTAATTTCCTATCTGCCAAAATCCCCCCCGTAACAGCACAGTACCGAAATTTCGATAATTTCAAAGCTCACCTGATCGTTGAAAGATTGATCCTGATCATAGTGAGATGCCGTTTCGTCATAGGTCAGATTTTCAGCGTCAAGCTCTGAAAAAGGCGTAATGCTGCTATTTTTAGTAAATCTCTTGCTTTACAAATTTTGCAAATGTATATAAGGATGAGGAGAAAGAATGTACCTTCATCTTCATGCGTCTCATCATAGGCTCGCTTTGCGGCTGAAGCCTTCACGAGCCGCTGCGACCTTCGCGTGGGCTGAGAGGCGAAATCCTAATTTTTTTCGTATAAATTTCTTTAAAAAACAAACCGTTTCCGCCCTATCTTCCTCATCATCGGTCAATTCTCCATAGTGCTCGTCCTCCCCGGAATCGTCTCCATCTCCATCTCCCTCTCCTCGCCGGTCATTTCGCATGCATTCCAGCGCGTATTTCAGCTGGTCGTCCTGCAGCGGGAAGCACTCATTTGCGCCTTGCATCAATTTTTTGTAGTAATCTGGGGCTCTGGAAGTGAAATTTTCAGGACTAAAACGTGTTGGACAAACCTGGTATTTACTGCCGTTCCCTTCGATTCGTGCATGGATTCCTGGTGCCGGCGGATATGCCGAGGTGCCCGGCCGCGAAATTTGCACACTAAATTAAATATCTAATTGATTTTAATGTTTATCCTACCTTATATAATTTTGGCGTGTATCTCTCTGTGTGTGTGTGTGTGTGTGTCCGGCGCCAGGGAGGGCTACTTTGCATAATCCCAAAAAAATACAAATTTCCTCATTCTTGCAAGTTGCACGCGCGGGTGTGGTCGGAGAAAGGGAGGGGGTCCGAAGGACCCAAGCTATCGGAAAGTCAAATTTCTCATGCAAAGGCCGCATTCCAGCGCCCAAGGCCCGCGACGCGGGTTTTGGGCGCTGGTTTTAGATAATTAGACAATTAAATAATTTTCACGTTTCATTTTTTCATCTTCACCAAATCACAAATTCTCATGGTGACAGTTCCGCCTTTTCAAGATGCGACCAGCTACAGTAAAGTAATAGTAAGTGTCTTAATAATTATTTTAGCAAATTTAAACATATTTGAAGTAGAAAAACAATAAAAACCTCCTACACACTTTTTAGTTCAAATTTTCATCCAAAAATCGGTATTTTTCGTGTTTTTAATCAAAATTTGTGACGATTCATCTATTTATATTAGAAAAATGGCGCCTTCAAAGTTAGCTCCGTCGATAATGCGTAAAAAAACCAGTTTTTAATGCTTATTTTACATACTTAGCCAAATGCACAATTTACAAATTACATTTCCGCTTTAATATTCTCGGAAATTGAAACTCACGTGAGCATTTCCAGGGCCGTCCTCCAAAATGGGTGGTAACGTGGCGCAGAAGCGCCGATCCGGCTTGCGCCAAGATCCGCTTGCCGCACTTCTGAATATGGTATCATTTCTTTTCGATTAAGTTATTAATTACCCTGCACTGATTTTCGATGGGCTCTTCGTCCAGCCATTCACGCTGCAGCGTTTGGTTCCGGATGCTGGCCACATTTTTCTTGATCTCCTCGGTCTGGAGCGGAAATCCGAGGCACGCCGTCTTCACCAACGCGTCGAAGTACTCGGGGGTGCTGGAAACAAAAAAATAACGATATAAATGATGCGGAAATATATTGATATCCGTTTTAACGAAATTTTTGAAATTCCGAAATTGGTTCTTTCGCATTCTTTGGGGATAAATTTTTTCCTATAAGCCCGGTTCTTTACTGGTAACCTAATATTAAGCCTTTCAATCATGTTTTTGGCAAAATTTAACTAACTATTGACTGGAAAACAACAAAGAAACTTCCCAATTTTTTTTAGTTGAGAACTGGCCAGAACTCTGCCATTTTGGGTCGAAAAGTCGGTAAATTTCGTAGTTTTAATCAAAAGTTGTAGGGTTTTTACGTTTAAAACAGTAAAAACAGCCAAGAAACCGTTCCGCTGATTCTATTTGGAAGGTCGAATCCTAGAAATGCCCGGAAACTTACGACATGTCAATAACCGTGCCGTCGCCGCCGTGGTGACGTTTCTGATGGCGCAGGACGCTTCCTCGTTGCGCCGCACACTGCTTGCATACTGAAAAAAATTGTAAAAGCGAATTTTTCATAAGAATGATAGTAATAAAGACTAACCTGAGCACTGGAATCGATTCCAAGGCAAGTGCGACATCGAGTGCCAGACGATTCTTTGAGAGCTTCTGAAGGGTTCGAGTCCCGGCGCCACGACGAACTTGCAGTGCTAAAAAATTGTGATGAAAAATGAAAATATCTGAAACTTAAAATCCTTAAAAAGAAAATACAAACCTCGCAAACATTTTTCTTGACCGCGGGAGCAGGAGAATCAGCTGATGGCGGCGTTACCGAGGCGGACAAGATTCTGGTTGGCGACAAGACGCCTTTGGTCATCTTACGCTTGCCCGTCATACGCATTTTGCCGAAAAGCTGATGGCATTTGATAAAATTCGCGGTAAAACTGTCTTGGAAAAGCAAAATTGATCAACGAGTTATCGAATGTTTTTCATAGTTTTTACTTATTTCTAGTCCATTATCATGGTTTATCTAACATTTTTCGGAAGTTGAAGTTCTAAACTTCATGAAATTTCTTAATAAGAAGACAACAAGGGAATCAGATCAATTTGATAAGATTTTCGTAGGACGCCCCGCCGCACCAAGTCGTTTCTCACCGAATTTCGTGGCGTGTATCACGGGCCCGCGGATTCAAAAACGTCCACCTGGCCGCCGCCGCACCATTGACGCCATTGCCGTTCAAGGATTCGAAAAACCGGCAGAAACCTAGCGATAAACTAAGATCATTACTGATTGTCATAGTTACGGAAACATTTTGGGAACCGCAAGGATGAATGAAAGGGATTTCAGGAAAGCAAAGCAAAAAAACTACTTTTCTCAATTTCGATTTTTCCGGATTCAATTTGCTACGAATGTGCGATTCCAGGAACGTTAGATTACCCTAAAATCCCGAGTAAAAGTTTCCCCATCGTAAATTCCGTGGGTCCGTAAATTCCGTAAGACCGTAAATTGGTGTGTTTCGTTTATTGTTTCGGTACTTGGAAATACCTGCGTTGTGAATTTTTGCATTGTGCTTTCAACACATGATTCCGCGGTGTTCGTGAGTAGGCTGGCGGATAGTGCGCCAGACGACGGGGTGCAGACACACCGGGGAGGGGTGGGGTGCGGAATAGGCGGCGAAAGAGCGAGACTAGGCTATAGGGCATGGGGGAAGAGAACAGGGGGCGGGGCCAGAGCGCAGATTCTCCGTTCCCCTGTATGCCTGCCATCCTGTCCCGGTCAAGCGAACACAACTGGTAAAGGGCGGAATGCTGTGTTCAATTGTTTATTACATTTCGACTATTTCTAGCATTTAAGTGGATCAGTGACAGGAATTGATACTCAGGCTTAGCTCAAACCTCCATGAATCTCAGATCGTTTCTCAATCTCATGCACTATCTTTCATACCCAGCTCAGACCAGGCTCAAACGAAGCTACTGATGATTCTCCGACTTTTTCCTTTGTCAAGCTCGCGAGAGATCCCTTACTGTTTGACCTAATCTCCTTCCCAGGAGCAGAGAAATTGCCAAATTAGTCATTGACCGGGCTACACTCAACTCGGAAAACCTCTAGTTTCCACCTAGTTTTCATCACATTTCCCAAAACCAAGCAGCTTTTCTTCTCTTTTTTTTAGACCAGGATATTTGCCGAATTAGTCATTTAGTCGAGGGTGTACTACTACACTCTTTGATCGAGTCACCGTTGACCTTCAACTTGTCCAAAGGCCGCCCGCCCACAAAACTTGGGCTTCCCAAAAATTGAGAGCGATTTATGTGCTCGCGCGTTTGGCAAATAACGGGTACACCCGAAAGGCGGGCGCAAAACACGCGGGGAGCGGAAATTGAGGATAAATAGGTGGGGGGAATCCGGGTACTCGGGTACTCGGCTACTCTCCGGAAACAACGATCAGCAAACCAAAGCAGAAGGATGAAATTGATTATTTTGCTTGCGCTTATTGGAGTATCACTCGCTATTAAATGCCAGATCACGATGAAGGATGAGCAGCCGTTGGATACGGTGAGTATTAGAGTGCCTTACATCGGGTAACACTCCGGCCAACTCCAGATGACCCCAACTTTTGTATCTTCGCTACCCTTTATCTTTCAAGGCTGTAAAGTATACCAAAATGTTTGTCTTGGTCATGAGGGCATCTTGTTATACTTTACATCCCTGTAGGATAAAGAATAGCCGAGATGCATTAGGTTTGGGCTCACCTGAAGTTTTAAAAGTTCAGAATGCTTATCCATTATCAAATGAAATGTAAAATTACATTATAATAAACCTGAACCGAGTTTCAAAAAACGCTGTTTGTTTTTTAGAGGTAGCCTTTGCGGTATTTCGTACTAAAAACTAGAGTCTGGTCATTGAAATTATCCGAAATCCCAAACCAACCTCTTCCTGTAAATCCAAAAAAGCCTCCTAGCTTAATGAGAAGTATTGTAATACGGTTTTTAACAAAATTTAGCTACATTTCAAATGGAACAACACTAACAAATTCAGAAAAAATTTTCTAGAATAAACTTTGATCGAAAATCGACCATTTTTTGTCGAAAAATCGAGATTTTTTGTTCTTTTTAGTAAAAAATTATTAATTTTTGTGCGCTTAGGACTAGTAAAACAGTTTAAAAACGGTTCCCTTTCTTATTAGAAAATTTACATTAGGAAAACAAGTTGAAAAACTCGAAAAATTGCAGCCCGACGAGATAGACTGCGGCGACGATTGTGACTACTGTATGCTGCATCGGGAAAAGTAATAAAACGCTATAAAAATTACTAAATTATGATTTTCTAGGGGACCCAAGCGATTCGTGCAAGAGCGCGGGTGCGGCTGCGGGGATAACGCTCTGCACGTGCACGCCGGGTGGGACGAGCCGACCGAGTGCACCGTGGGTTTTAAAAGCTTTTGAAAGTCCAGAAAATAAGATCAAAACTAGATTTTTCTGCATAATTAATAACTCGAAAATTCAAACGATTTCGTGTAAAAAGCGAAGTATTTCAGGACGAGGGCACGCTCAGCACCTCCGAAAATGGGATTGCCATGTATGACGCGTGCTGCGAGGAGTTTTCTTGTAAATAAAATTGAAGCTTTAATAAAGTTCGATTTTTCCACTTGAATTCTTAATACAAAAAAAACTGTTTTTTATTTTTTGGAACTTAAAATCAGAAAAAAACATATCTTATACATATGGTTTCCGTTTATATACATGTTTTAGTTAAAAAACCCAACCGAAGCCGAGGTCTAGGCCTAAGCCTAGGCCAAGCCTAAACCAAGCCTAAGCCAAGCCTAAGCCAAGCCTAAGCCAAGCCTAAGCCAAGCCTAAGCCAAGCTTAAGCCAAGCCTAAGCCAAGCCTAAGCCAAGCCTAAGCCAAGCCTAAGCCAAGCCTAAGCCAAGCCTAAGCCAAGCCTAAGCCAAGCCTAAGCCAAGCCTAAGCCAAGCCTAAGCCAAGCCTAAAACAGAAACCGACGCCTAAGCCTAAGCCTATGCATAGCCAAGCCGAAGCCAAGCCTAAGCCAAAGCTTATGCCTAAGCTAAGCCTAAGCCGAAACCTAAGCCTAGAGCGGATTGATAAAAATTAGCTCCTCCCTGCTACCAGTCTAGTACCAAAAACCCTGTGAAGGTGCATTTCAGACGTATTTCCATTTTTTAACGTAAATATCTCTTTATCCTCCCACGAAAACGCACAAATATAAATATTTAATATATAAACAAAAATCTTTCGCTATAATGACAAAATCATACAGTAGGATAAGGCCACGAAATCGGGGGGTTTTCGGCGCAAAACGGACATTTTATAGCATAGCACGACTGGGGGATAGGCGGGAGGGGAATATGGCAGAGAAGTCGAAAAGTATCACATAAAATGTGCAAAAATATCGAAAAACAAAATTGTAAAATGAAGAAAATAGCAGGGAATGGATGGGATTCGTTTTTCAGTGCGAGGGGAATTGTTAAAATTGCCTAGGAAATGTTATAAAAATAGCAAAAAAATAATTGAATTTTTCTGGCGGGGACCCGGAGGGTGGGCGCACATTTTTGGGGCGCGCGTGATATCGGAGGTTGCGTTTTTAGCGTGTAATTGCCTAGATTTACAGTAGAAAATTGCTAGAGGGTTTTTTTAGATTGTTAACTCATCAAAAATATGGAAATACGAAAAATAGATTTTTCTCAATTTTTAAAGGGACAGAGACGTCAAAATCCTGAGAAAGGCTTTAGAAACTTCAAAGCGCCGAATTTTTGTGTTCTAAACCTCAGTTTAGCTTTAATTAAATTAAATTTATTTTATTTATTTTTGCATTTTTAGTGCTAAAATAAAAAATGCCCCAAAAAATCTACGAACAATTTGGAGATTTTTAAAAAATGAATAAAGTAGTATCCTTTTCCTACGATTTTTTGAATTTTAGCAGTTTTTTCCGATTTGAAATCGTATAAAAATACGGTATCGAAAAACGAATCTTATTCTTCATTTATTAAAATTTTGACATTCTACCCCTTTAAAATCTACCAAAAAATATCGTTGAAAGATCGGGAGGTTAAGAATTGAATCTTCGGCTGCGACAGCAACCTTGGATTCCGCTGGGCTACATACACTACGCTCCTCAGTACACCCAACTGACGGGCAGCCACTGCGGGCTGACGTTCAGCTTCTCGACAAGGCGCTCAAGCTGCGCGATCGTCTCGTCGATGTCGTTGTTGACGATCACGTAGTCGAACAGGTGGCCGAAGGCTTGGCGGAGGATTTCGGATTCTTTCAGGAGGCGTTCAAGGGAGCCGTCGGGCTGGAAGCATAATTTATCCTTATACTACCTTCACATTTATACGATAATACGTCAAAAACAACTAGCAAAGATCATATAGGAAGATTTTGATTTTCAAGGCATTTGTAAAGCAAAAAACTCACATCTTGCAACCCTTGCAAATTCGGCGCGGCGATGAAGACGACGAATGGCGAGTATTCGGCGGTTCGGAGGACTTTCAGGGCTTGTGGCTCCACGTCCAATATTGCCACTTTTCCGCTCTTATGGATATTCCGGATCGTCTCGAGTTTCGTGCCGTACATGCTCTCCTCGTGGGTGCCTGGAAATTGCGTGTTTTCAACGATAATCTTCTTCACAATATACAAAAAAAAAACGTAATTCGCGATTTGTCTAGCCGGTAAAGCGTAAAACACGGAAATTAGTATTATTTTATATACAGTGAAATCTCGAAAATCACTCACCATACTCCAAATATTCATTATTCTGTATGTCGACCATCATCTGCTCGTTGGAGACGAAGAAGTAGTGCTTGCCGTCCAGTTCATCTTTTCGAGGTTGTCTTGTAGTATCTAGAAAATCAGTATTTTTTTGTCTTAAATGGCCAGGGAAGCCAAATTTAATACCAAAATCTCAAGAGGCTCTGCTTACGTGGTATCGGATACGCAAATCGCTGGGGATGCCGATGGATGAGGGTGTTTTTGATGTGTCTCCGACCGACGCCATGGGCACCGAGGAGTACCAAGGTTTTCCGGCGGTATTGTGATAATCGCATTACCTGGAAAAGGAGTTTAACTTACTGAAAAAAGATGTAATCTATGTTTAAAGGCAGGTTGAAGCCAAAATCTATATGATAACTGGTTATGGAAGCATTCAGGCAAGTTTCGGGCTTTCCATCACGGTAAAAACGAGATTTTTGATGTTTTAGGTTGTAACACTACGTAATATTCCTATAAACAGTGCCGTACAACTCCAAAATCAAGATACCTGGTACGCGACAGTCCAATTTACACTTCGCCTACCTCCTCGTACGTCACCAAGTCCAGCTGGTCAAACAGAGTCGAATGTTTCTGGAGGTACTTGGTGGAGTAGTACTTCTTTTTCTTGTTGAACCACATACAGTGGGCGGGGAGGCCTGTAATGATTGCTTACGGTAAGTTATACACTAATTGCATTAAGCTAGCCTTAAAAATACGTCAAAACAATGGTGAAAAAAATGGCCAAAGGAGCGCTGAAGACCAAAGAAAAGCAGATTTTAGACCAAATCTACGCGCGGCAACTTCGTACATTTGGATAAAGACAGGAACCGTTACGTAATACACCACTCTAGCTTTCAGACACCTTTAAAAATGCTTAAAAAAACCTACAAGTATCCTTCGCCCGTTCCATCGCCAAACAAGCCGTTCGCCATTCCTGGAGCTCTGGACTGGGGATCAAGCCGGCTGTTGTCTAAAGGAAAGTGGCGTAGTCGTACCCAATATAATGTTATAGTCAACCATTTATACGCTTTGGAATTCAGACTTACTTGCGCCTCCTTATTCGGATTGCCAAGTCCGGGAAACCCGGAGATGAATCGCGCCTGCCACCAGTTGTGGTCGTCCTTGGAGATTACCTAAGGAAAGGAGGTTTAATCAGATAAAAGAAAGCTAGCTTTAATAGCTTATATACAAACAATATTAAATAGTATACCTGCAAAATATCGCCCGTCTTAAAAGCCATCCCCGCTTGGGGACAGGGTATCAAGTCGTCCTGGCCAGGCTCGTAGTCGAATTGGGCTCGCACGAAGATTTCACAGGCGGGTGGGGCCGAGCGGTAGGAAGGCACGATTTTGAAGGTTACCTAAAATATATAAGTTATATGAGTAGTTTTATAGCTTATATATAAATCAAATAAGCTTTTTAATTGAGGTTTAAGGGCCAAAAAGCGAGGAAAATACCGATAGCGCCGATCCGAGCCTGGCTTTTGGGCGCCCGAACAAGAATAGTCGCATGGATAATGAAATCGGCAACTTCTGTTTCAGCCTAGTGTATTTTCCTGCCGTCCTAGCCCCTTTAAAATAGGTTTTTTTGCACTAACTTGTCCTCGAGCGTCCCTCAACATTTGCTGCAAACTCTCAACAGATCGATGGGCCACGGAGACACCGTTGATTTCTCGGATCTCATCGCCGACATGTAGGGTAGCTAAACGGAAATGGAAATAAAAGGACTCAAAAAGTATAATAAATTGATGAATATTAAAAATCCTCAATTTCAAAGCGACCTGAAACTAATTTTTGCTTACCTTGCCGATGTATCATCCCGCCGTGCATGATTCGCGCCACGAAACAACGACCTTCTTCGGTGACCTGAATTCATGATTTAGGCAATTACATCCATTTTTATCACGTTTCAACCTGTTTTTGACATAAACATACTTATCAAATCTTAAAAAGTATGTAGAACTATCATAGGGCAAAGTTATAACCTATATAAACCAAGCCATTAAGCCCGAAAAACTTACTTTTAACGTGATGCCCATCGGCTCTTCCGAGTCTTTTTGGAATTGGACGAGGCGTACTCTCGAGACAGAGTCCATCAGAATATCATCGTCGTCATCGCCTAAAACATCTCGTAATCGGGTCCCTCTCTCATGTTTCTTTCCGGAGTACGCTACGCACCTGTAAACGACGTGGGCAGATAGTCCTCATGGCTGGTGCCGGCTCGTTGAGCACCTAGAGGTAGGACACCTCCATTTAAATATGAGAATGGGGCATTGGGGTCCCGTTGTGAAGGGAGTCCCGTACTCGAAGACATCGACCGGCAGGCGTCTTGCGAGGCACCAGGAGCACAGGCTGCGCTCTGGAAATCGATGTTTTAAAGAGTTTGAAAGGGGGTGTTTTTGTCGTATTTTAGAGCGAGAGCGAGAGTGAGAGTGAGAGAGAGGGAGAGAGAGACAGAGAGATATATAGTATTTGAGAGAATTAGAGAGATCGCGCCGTGAGCAAGAGCTGGCGAAAACGAGTGAGAGAGGTCTCGAGGGAGCAACAGCTCGCGAGAAAGAGCAAAAGAGCGTGAGTTAGAGAGTCAGTGGGAGAGAGACAGACCTTATTCTGTATCCCATTTAAAGACTACTTGAAATCCTCATAATGCATGAGTTCCGCAAAGCTCATTCTAGACAAACCACTCCCAGATGCATGGAGGTTTTTTGGCGGAGAAAATGGCTGCGGCGCCCCTGGGTATTTTTTGCCACTTCTCCGCTAATTTATCGAGTTGTTCGGCGCTGCTCGGAGGTATCGAAAAAAACCCGGCGAAGCCGAGAATTTTTTTAACTTTACTGTCGGAATGTTATCGGAACTTATGGGAGAGAAAACGACTCCTAGAATGAAGGCTTATGTGGTTTGCAAAATCCCCATCAGGTTGGAGCACGGGAAAAGGAGCTAAAACAGGATTTCTGGTTTTTTCAACTAAACCATAAAAACCGTAAAAAGAGTTCCAAAATTAAATTTTTCAGTGCCTTTAATATCTAGATTCAAAAGTTCGGAATTACGCATCATGGGTTTACTACATTTGACTACAAAATACTGAAAAAAACGATTAAGAATACTCACGAAGTCCTTTGAAGAAGACAAGACCTAAAACTCGAGGATCCCAGGCTGTACGGCTACTTTTGAATCGATTAAAACACGAAAAAAATTATTTCGAAACAGTCCCCTCAGAAAAAGGCTGGTTGAAACCCAAAATTTTGGCAATTATCTTGCGTTTCGGTGTACTTCGCCACGGACAGTTGTCCTATTTTTCAACCCCCATTGCCCCCAGGGATGAGAGAGCATTAACTAGGGACCCGGGGCCAATGGGTGAATCCATTTTCCGGCTGTCACATCGTGCCTCTCCCGGCCATCGGATTGTGTGACATTCGAGCACCGGCCGATTAGCGCCTCGCTTGGGCTAGTCTTGGCTAGAGCATTGGAAAACACGCCAAGCTAGGGTAAGGTATCTTTTTTTGATGGTTCTTTTTGATAAAAATTGGATTCTCCTCTTTGCAATTAGGATCCGATGAAATTTTTCGACAGGGTGAGTTCCAGTTTGGAAAAACTGGAAAGCGGAATAAAAAGGTTCATTTCGTAAAAACATTTAAAAAAACAGAAAACGGCGTTTTCATGCCGGGGACGTCTTTAAATTTTGCATCAATAAGAAATCATCCAAAAAACGGGTGATAAGAAGATTTTAGAAAGAATTTGCTGGTTTGGGAACAAGGTAGATGGGAGAACTAAGATATAAGGCTCATGGGAATGAAAATCAATACCAAGCACTAACCGTGGAGGGCTGCTGATCTAGAAGCTGATGCTCCTGGCTCGTCCCTGGGCCATTGTAATCGCGTTCTGCGCCGTACACCTCTTCCACGACAACGTCGAGGGCTTGCAGTGAGGCCTGAATAAAATCAAGATATGCGGAATCGAATGGATAAAGATATCAACTACGTTTTAATAGATAGTAACTCCAAAAGGTTACTACGAAAAAAGCTTTAAAAACGCGAAAAACGAGGTTATGGCATGATAAATCCATCGAAATTACGTAATTTAAGTTATGCCAAGCTTAGACTCCCTTAAAGTATAGTTTTTAACGTATTCTATCGGAATTTAATGCTAATTTCAATGTGCAAATAAAAAAAATACTTTTTCTCAGATGATATAGAAACGCCTACCGCGACATCAGTGTACTGAAGAAGCTGCCGCAATTCTAGAGACTCCGGGCTGGGCGAGAGCAACGTTTCGATGTAGGAGACGGTCTAAAAAATCGACAGATTAACGGATTACGCTAGGAAAAAATATAGTTGCTAAAATACAGAAGAGAAACGATACTTCTTTGGATAAAATCGACGCATCCTCCCCGCAGACGACGGGCCGCGATTGGAGTTGTGAGATCTTTTCATACAACTGAAAAATATACGATAAATGATGTGATAGAAGTTACTACATGTTTTTCGATACCTTTAAAGTACAATTTTCTGACCGGAACCATGCAATTCAATTTTTAAAAACAGGGAAATTCCACACAACAATACGAACGATTTTTAAGCGAACGGAACACACTGATTTTTCCAGAAAAACAAGAAAAGCTCAAAAAGTCCGTAGCGATAACATCAAGGTAAATTTTATACCGTATACGCATGGAACATGCAATTTTCTAAAGTATCCATGCACAAAGATGAAAAATGGGCACGAAACAGACAAAGAAAATTAGCAAAGCCCCCCATTTCTCACCGAATTCCGCAATTGTACAGTGCAGACGGCCGATTGGGTGGCTATCACCTCCTCCTCGGACTCCTCATCCCTAGCGGATTGCAGCCCGCTAGGTCCCGGCCGATCGTCGTCCGGAGGAATGTCCCGTACCGCCTCTGGCCCGCCCTCCATTTCATGGATGCCCCCGGGTCTAATGGAAGGAGTAAGGTTGAGCACAAGACGAAATGAAGCTTTAGGGACAGATTGAAGGAAAAAGCGGGGAAATTGTGTAGTGTATTGTATCAGAGAGTAGCAGAGGTCATTGAGGAAACTTCTAGTGTATCAGCGCGTAGCGGATAAGCGCAAAATTGGGGAAAAGACGGAACTATGCCCTCTTTTTAAGTAGCGTCCAGCATTCAACCACGCCAGTCAAGTTGCACTACGATACGCGTCAATACGCGTATGTACGCGACGAGGAGCATACGGAAAACTACGGAATAATACTCTTATGTACGTTTCGCTACGCTATGATGCGCCCCGCTGAAACGAGACGTTCCGCAGGAATACGCATAATTACGCCTCGTAACTTACGTTAGGATGCGCTTTGGAAAGTTAAACAAGGCCTAAACCTAAACCTAAGCCTAAGCAAATGCTAAGGAAAACCTAGGCCCAAACCTGCCTAAGCGAAGGCTAAGCCTAAGCCTACGTCTAAACCTGAGCCTAACTTAACTAGTTTCCAAGTCGTTTTACAAGAGGAAATGTGGGTAAACAAAGAGAGAACGGGGTCGTTCCGCTGGAGTATGAGTTCGACTGGCGAGTGTGACTTAGTGGCGGGCTAAATGTTGTGTGGAAGAAATCGGGGAGGAGTGAGGGATGGAGAGAGAGAGAGAGAGAGAGAGAGAGAGAGAGAGAGAGACCCCGAGAAGGACCCACCCCCCGGGAGAACCCAGGCCAAATTTCGGGGCCTAAGGCTCTGAGGTGGGCCGCCCAGGCAGAGGCTTAGGACCCAAGGGCCCAGAGCCGAGATGGCAACGTTTGTGGGGTGGGTGGGGGGGGGGAGTGAGAGCCATCGGCTTCTTCTTCAGCTTCTTCGTCCCTTCAGCCCCCCCACCCCCCGATAACTAGCTTTCCATTCGCACCACTCGCTCTTGCTTCTTCTCCTTCTTGTCGTGCTCCTTCCACGGCTTCTCCTTCTCTTGGGACGCACGGCGCGACAAGTAGCCCAAATTCGGGGGGAAAGTTGCGCCTGGCCGGAGGAGCAGCAGCAGGAGGGGAGGAGGAACGCTTCGAGACCCGACCCGAATCGATAAGTTTTGGGGATCTGATGTTGTTTGGTGGGTTTGGGGGCTTAAAGGAACCCGGAAGGCAACAACCCCTTAAATATCGGGGTTAAAAAGGCGTAGAACGCAAAAACGGCCTGGAAAATCGCATTTCAGTGGTTGCAAGGTTCGAACGGCAAGAAAAATATTTTTTTTAAGGTATTTTCATGGGAAGAATGTTTTGTAATTTGCGGTAAAGGGGCCAAAATTTATATTTTTCTGAAAACTTTAATTTTTCCATCTAATAGTTGTAATTTCAACACTTAAGGAGACAGGAACTTAAAAATGATGAATTTCAGGGCTAAAAACATGGCGCCTATAGCGTAGTATTTACGGAAACGACTACGCATGACGCCTCTTGACACGCGTTTTGAAAATTCCCTTTTTGGGGCTTTTGAAAACTTTTGAAGTGGCGCTGTCCCTTTAAATTAATGTTTAGAGGTATAATGCCAGGCAAAATGCGTTGGAAACGACGATTTCCACGCAACACCTATTTACGGCAAAATTAGGCCAACTTCCACCTTTCTCCCAACCTAGAGCCAACCGGGTAAATGAGATTAGGAGCGGGCTGGAATCGAGCCTCCCACGAGTGCTCTAACCGCCTATTCCAAATTGGCACTGAGCCAGGGGAACGCTTTGTCCTCCATTTACTCGTTTCCGGTTGCTTCAAGAGAGAATCTTGAGGTCGCCTTGCGGCGTCCGTGTAAAATCCGGATGCTATCATGTTTCAGAATGCAAGATGTCCAAATGGATTGATTGTAGGAGCTAGCAAAGGCTCCCCGACATTTGCGCCCCGACCATTTGCGCCCCGACACTTGCGCCCACGACACTTGCGCCCACAAAACTTGCGCCCCGCAGTTTGCGATAGAATCGGGGCGCAAGTGTCGGGGCGCAAATGTCATGGCACCCTAGCAAGGGTCTTTTAAGACAAAATTCAGCTAGCAGAGAAATCTTCGGAAGCTGGAAGGCAAGCCAGCAAGGGTTTTTGAGGAATCTTCGTGGAGGCTGGCAGCGATAATTAAAGGAACAAGCGAGCCGAGATTTTAGGGAGGTAAGAAGGGCAGCTGGCAGAGACCCTTTAGCAAGCAGAGAAACAAGCTAAAAGATATTTTTTAGGAAAGTTAAGGGCAGCCTAGCTGAGATTCCTTAAAAAGGACGAGGGCAAGCTAGCAGAAATTTTTTAGGAAGTATGAGGGCAGGCCAGCAGAGGGCTTTTAGGAAATGGGTAGACAAGAGAAGAGAGATTCAATACAACGCAAGCTAGCAAAAACCCTTTCAGAGCATCATTTTTGGGTGTAAAAGCAGCAGACAAGGCATAGGAGCAAACTAGCCGATATACTTAAAAATAGGCAAGCTAGCACATATCCTTTCGGAATTCCGTGGCTAGGGCAAGCTAGCAGAAACATTTGGTGACGCTACTTTTGGCCCTAAACCATCAAACAAAGGCCCTCCCGGACTCAGGCTCTCCCTTTCAAGTTCTTCCAGCTGCGGCTGTAATGTGTATGTGTGTGCATGAGAGAATGGGATTTGATGTGGTCTTAGGGCCCGGGCCAAAGGAGAGGAGACCCAGCCTGGGGGGCACCAAGCAGCTGACGGGGATGAGCTCAAGCTCCCCGACAGGGCTCAGAACGCGTGAACACGTTGCAAATGGCAATTCTTTGCCACTCGTGCTCAGGCAGCTGAAATGAGACTCGACACTTGACAGCCAAGGGGAGGGAGAGGTGGCCGGAAGTGATCGGGGAAGCAATAACAAACTCGGCAGTTTCAGGGGTGGGCTAGAGTTTGGTTGGTAGTTTTAAAGGGACTAAGAAGTGTCGAAATCTACCCCCAAATCTCAACTAGGCGTAAACAGCCATAAAAAATGCCGCAACCTGTCTTTTTGGTGAGTTGAGGTTGCTAAAAAATTAGTCATACCGTGACGTATTTCGCGTTTTTCAACTTTTGTCGAAAACTAGTCGACTGAACGGGTCGATTCTGTCACTTTCCCGATCCCGGTAAGTGGCGTATAAACCGGGATTTTAGCTTAAGCCAACAAGTGGGTAAGATGATGATCTTTGAGAAAAAGGAAAATTAAGAAAATTACGAGATAAAATTACATACGTTAATAAGCATCGCATTTTCACTGCTTAAATGTTTTCTGCAAGACTCAGAATGAACCCTAAGCCGTGAAGCGGATGTAAGCTGATCCGAGGAATTCGCGAAATCCTAAAAAAACTTCGCACCGAACGAGACGGAGAAGGTATCTGGGCTGCGAAAAAGTGTGGGAGACAGAGGGAGAGCGATAAAGCGAGAGAGCGGGAGAGTGAGAGAGAGATAGAGAAAAAAACAGAGAGCGGGTGAGGGAGAAAGCCTAGAAAAGGCCCAGGAACGCGGATCAGGTATCAGTGGAGTTTGAGCAAAAATCAGGAAAAGTTCAGAGCAACACTTTAGAGCCTGGTTCTCACCTTTAAAGGAGCATTAATGAAATTAAATACGGCAATATTGATCCCTTTAAACGTCAAAAATACACATAAAGACGATCAAAACAAACATAAAACAAGGTACGGTACCTTAGACGACAAACCATGTCAGAACCACACCAAAAACAAGCAAAAATAAACAAAAGCTACCAAGTGCGAAATTCTGACTACGCGACATGCAAAAAACGTGCAAAAACCGTTCAAAAATGCAAGGACAGGAAAAAGAAATTGCTTAAATATCGAATTTTCGACAATACCGTAATACCGAATCCCTGTCATCTTTCCTAAAAGTCATCTTTCCTAAAGTCATCTTTCCTAAAGTCATCTTTCCTAAAAGTCATCTTTCCTAAAAGTCATTTTTCCTAAAAGTCATCTTTCCTAAAAGTCATCTTTCCTAAAAGTCATTTTTCCTAAAAGTCATCTTTCCTAAAAGTCATTTTTCCTAAAACTAGGTAATCGTAAATTTTTATTTTTCCTCAATCACTTTTTTCTAAAAACTATTTTTTTCGAAGATTAATTTTTCCTGAAGTTAGGTATGCGAATAGGGATGCCACCTCCGCCTAACTTGAAACCTGCTTCCTGTGTAGAAACGGCAAAATGCCTTGAACGCCGTCAGTCCTAATAAAAGCTCTTAGTCGCATCGGAGCCTATCCTATTTTTTGATTTCTGAATAGTTTTATGAATTCAAAGATAGCATAACTTAAATCAAAACATCCCGAAAAGGTCTAGTACGGCATGGAGACATTAAAATTTTACGGCCCGGGCCTCTCCAAAAAAATTTTTCTTGCAAAAAAAACCAACTGCGAAATATTGATTTTTAGGAAAAATGACTTTTAGGAAAAATGACTTTTAGGAAAGATGACTTTTAGGAAAAATGACTTTTAGGAAAGATGACTTTTAGGAAAGATGACTTTTAGGAAAGATGACTTTAGGAAAG